GAAAATACAGTGCAATTTAATGAAATTCATTATTTAATAAAGCAAGGATTGCTAGTAAGTAATTAAATAAATGTAAATATTTTTTGTCGACTTTTAGTTAACTCTCTTATATAGTTTAACTTAACCATAATCATTGGGCAGTACACCATAGTAGTAAATACATATATATGGATATAGATATGTATTGTAGAATGAGGATGAGGACGAGGATGAGGATGGACCACCTGCGAAGAGGACCACCATGAGAGTCTTCTTGAGTAGTCTTGTGGTTACCGACCCAAGCGAATCTTGCTCGTTCCAAGAACAAAAGCTGAAAGAATAATGGATATAGAAGCAAAAAAAATTTTATTAAGTATACATATATGAGTATAATCAACAAAAAATAACCAGTCTCACGAAAACCAACAACCCGAGCCACAGAACAAACTCAAACTTCGGTTCCTGCATGATAGATCCTCGCCGGCTTAGTCCTTATTACCGTAATTAGATTGTTCAAGCCCCCAAATTCAGTATAGTACTACTGACTGGTTAACTGCAGTCTAAAGTTATGCAAATAACCCGTCAATTGACTCCATTGCTGCTTAGTCCTGTCAAGTTAAATATTAGACATCACGGAATTTATTAAATACTTTTTTCTTTGCTAATGATGGTAATGAATTCAGTAATTTTTGTATTCTAAAGACCACCTAGGGCACGACCACCAAGAAAGTATTAACATTTTTTTTTTTCTAAATTACAACTCTAAAATTTGCACTAAAAATCAATTTTACTAAAATTATTGCCGTGGAAAAAATTACATATTATATAAGTAGAGTATATAAATAGAAAGATAATTACACGAAAAAAAAAATCGGTAATTTAAAACACTTATTACTCAATTTTTTTTTTCTTGTTGTTAACACGTGTAATAGTGCGTATTTATAAATTTTAATTGCAGATATATTTCTTGCTGGTATTAATTTAATATATAATAAGTTAATTAAAGGCGCCACACTGCAATTGACTGATGTGATGTAAATATTTATTTTCAAACCGATTTGATGTTAATTTATATGATTGAATTCAACACAACTTGATTGCGAAAAAGAAAAAAACAACTTAATAAAAGTGCAACTCTATATGATATGTAATATGGATGTATAGCGAGTAATGAGACAAAAGAGGATACGGATGATGATAAAACCGGTGATTCATGCACTTTATATATAAAATATAAATTCATGTTTCGATATATTACTAATGTCTGACTCGGTGTCGAGTATATCAGCGTTTAATTTGTCATCTTAGTGACAACTCTTTCGTGGAAATTATATTTTTGTTAGCAAAAAAATTAACAAGTGGTGATTATTCATTAAACACACTGTGGTTGTTAAAACTAATTTATTTTTAAATTATTATAAAATTTTTATTAATAGTTGAAAGTTAATAGAGCTTATTATATATATAAAAAATTTTTATCAGTTTAGTTTTGGAAAATTCCGACAGGTGGCGCATGGCCGCTGAATCTTCTCACTACAAGAGAGTTAACTTTTAGAAATTAAGTATTAAAATAAATTTTGTAAAAATTACACTGATAGATTTATTAATTATTAATAATTTAATTTATTAAATATTTATTAAATGCTACGTTAAAAATCAGTTAATAAAGCTTATTAAATATAATAAAAATCCTTCTATCAGTGAATGATTAGTTAAATTTGCCTAATCCAACAATAATTACACAAAATATACGACGTTGATATTCCCACGAGAAACAAGAACGGAAATATAGATCTTTCTTGACTTCCTTGAATGATATAAGAATTACAATTTATTCCAGGTAATCATACCTTACTAAATTTATCGCTCGGAAAAATGTTTACGATAAAATGATCCTTAATTTCATACAGCTCTTATTGTACACTCGTAGATCCTCGATCACATCCGATAGAAAAATAATACTCGATTACGTATACATAAATATTCTAATCTAAAAACAACAACAATTATGACGGTTTGCATATAAAATGTCGTAGTTTATCATTTTGATTACATAATTCAAAATCTAGAGATTTAATCGATAAAAAAAAACCCTAGTAATAAATATAAAACAGAAAATTGATGACGTTTGATGTATTTAATCTCGCGGACCGTGACCTCTTTATTCTCAAACCCTACTCTGATGTCGTCTCGCTTTTCTGGATGCCGTCTGAGATAGCGGTCTGAGCGGTCCCTATATACTACTCTGGTGTACACACATTTTATATACTATTACACATTATTTTCTTTTGATCATCAATAGAAAAAACTTTAATTTCTTCGGACACACTGATAGAAGGATTTATTAACTATTAATAATTTAATTTATTTAAAGACATTTAATTTATTAAATTTTAGTAAATATTTTTTAACATTTAATAAATAATTTAATAACTGTTAATAATTATTAAATATAAAAAATCCTATATAGTTTTAGAAAAATTCCAACAGGTGGCGCATGGCCGCTGAATCTTCTCGCTACAAGAGGGTTAACTTTTATAAATTAAGTATTGAAATAAATTTTGTAAAAGTTACACTGATAGGATTTATTAATTATTAATAATTTAAATTATTTAAAGACATTTAATTTATTAAATTTTAATAATTATTTTTTAACAATTAATAAATTGAGCTTAATAAATAATTTATTAATTATTAATATCAATGCAAAAAATAAGTTTAATTATCCAAACTTTGGTTCCTTTTTTTTCTCCCTCATATTTATATTTATATAAATTTTATCACCAGAAGATCTGGATACTCATTATATTATAATCTCCGGGTCTTCGTCAGATGTTAGGGGGGTGTGTAACGTGTATTGTGTGTATGAATACATAATGCGCAACTAGTACTAGCAAGCCTGATATTATATTATATTATATGTAGTGTACTTGCGCTACCACCTCTTATTCCGTTACTTATTTATGTATCAAGTACACAGGTCTAGTGTAACGCGCTTAGCAATACTTGGAGATCGGTATCGAGTTTATACGTTCATAATACCATGAAATCCTACTTCTATTTTCCTCAGCCTTACAAAGTACACATATTATCAGTGTACACCGTCTTTTTTCCCTGAATTATTACTCACGCACACAGCCGCGGGTTCTAGAGTTGAGTCAAAGTGATGGCGCCGGCGCGTCCGCGGTTCTAATAAAAAAAAAACTATATCATAACGCTAATCTTATACGTTTACGTAGATCCCGAGATCGATATCACTTGTCTGCGCTAGGCGTCAATTCAGATCCAAGATTATCTATAAATATTTTTTGTTTTTGTTTATATTATCCAACTAATGCTTAAACATTTCAACATATTATTTATCTTTTTAATTTAGTTTAATTTTATCGTGTTTTCAAGCAAAATAATTGTACTATTATAGTGAATGTCAATTTCAAACCATTAAATTACGTAGTTATTTCCTTTGAATCGATTCTCGCACGTGATCCTGGCGCCGACTTGACGCTTTAAAGTTGATCAATCTTAGATACTTTTTACCACTATATTTATTAAATTACTTATGGATGTCGTAAGTTTGCAATTTTTATTCCAATCAATCAAATTATTTATAGAGGTCCATGCCAGGTGTTGCTTTAATTAATACTAGCAATCTTGCAGTCACTTCATGACTGCAGTGACTTGTGGACTATAATGAATAAAATTTTTTTATTAACTAATGAATTTTGGTAAATTGCACTGTACTTTCTTAAATATTGACGTTTTTTAAAGATATAAGCTCATCTTGATATTGCACTCATCAAGAGCTTTCATTTGAGTACCCACATGCATTTTTGATATATTTTTCATATATACATATATATGATATATATAAATATATGAAAAATTGATGTGGGTATTCAAATGAAAGGTCTTGATGAGTGTATCATCAGGATGAGCTTATATCTTTAAAAATATGTCAATAGTTCACGAGATACAAGGTAATTTCTCAATTATGTATCTACAATACCAAATTCAACCATAAATACCCATTTTATCTTATAAATATGTATTAAAAAAAAAAAAAATTGATAGAAAATTTTGAGCCTTTGTAATGCTTCAGGCAATCTAAGCAAAAGCAGCCTCCTTGGCTTTCAGCAGAAAATGAACCGAGATTTATTATGCATAGTCGTTCATCCTGCAGTCACATTAACCGCGACTGCATGAGTGGATTTATTGTAGTCATTGTAGATTTTTAACCAATAAAATAGGAAATAACGACAACTATTATTATTATCCCAACTGATATTTATTTATTTTTGAATAGGTTTCTTTGTTGATATACTGCTAATTATCTAGGTCGTGTAAATATAAAAGAACATACATCACAGGCGCATTATCCATGCATATATAAATTTTATTTAATAGCCAATGGGAGAATAAAGTATTTAACATGGAACATGACAATAATTGTACACAAAGCTAATTTACGCATAAATTACCAATAAAATCTAAGAAAGCTATTCATCCTCCTGGAGGACAGCGTTATCGGATGGTTTGTTGAACCGGTCAACAGCGTGGACAATTCGTTTCTTTAACTTAAGTAAATCCCGCGTTGTTTTGAATTCGTTCCAGCTCAGTTGTTTCACTGATGATTCATGTTCAGATTTTTTTGAAGTTCCCCGCAGTAGTGCTCCTAATGTTACGTCAGCTATTTCTTCCCAGTCCTAAAAAATTGACGAGTTTTTAAAATCTTGAGACATAAATTAACGAGTTTTGAACAAAATTAGAAACTTTGCATTATTAAATAATGACTTTTGTTAAATTGCACTGTACTTTCTTAAATATTGATATTTTTTAAGATATAAACTCATCCTGATGTTATACTTATCAAGAGCTATTATTTGAGTACCCACATCAATTTTTCATATATTTTTCATATATACATATATATATACTTTGAAAATATAAGCTCATCCTGATGTTAAACTCATCAAGAGCTTTCATTTGAGTACCTACATGCATTTTTGATATATTTTTCATATATATACATATATAGATATATATAAATATATAAAATATATGAAAAATTGATGTGGGTACTCAAATGAAAGGCCTCGATGAGCGTAACATCGGGATGAGCTTATATTATCTTTAAAAATGTCAATAGTTCACGAGATACAAGGTCTTTTCTTAATTATCTATTTAACTATAAAACCCCATTTTATCATATAAATACACTAGCCACAAAATTTAGCTTATTCTCCTAATAATATAGATTAAAGTATATATACGAACAATATTGTCGCGTGGTTGCGGTTCAAAGCCAATTGCTGATTCAATGAGCCTATATTTATCTTCCTGTACATTGGATTTGATCAACATCAGCACTAGCTTTAAACTGCCGTGCAATTTATGTGCAGCGTGTTGAAGTTCCTGAGAACAGACAATAAATAATAATAAATAATAATAAATAATAATAAAACTAGTACTAGTAATAGAAAATTACCATCTGCGCTGAATCAAGTTTATCCAATTGATCTAGCAGCAATTGGTAGGTCGATTCTAGGAGAATAGAGAGGCCAGATGACGCCAAAGATCGTGAGTTTTTTTCCCGCATGCTCTGGAGCACTCTTTTTTCAATGTTCCTCAGCTGACTGGTCAACAAAGCTAGCTCGCTCTGTTCGACATTAAAAAAAAAAAATGAAATAAAAATGTCCAGTGATTTTATGAGAATTCAATGTACCAAGATGAGTTGAACTTGTTGACGGGTTTTAAAGTGGGCCTCAATATTCCCCTGGACCAGCTGCAGATGATTCTGAGTGATGTTTGCGACGATGCTACCAGCGGAATTGGTATTCAATCGGGAGCACAGTCTGGTCAACAGCTGCTGGACTATCAGGGTCATCGCGAGTGCATCGTTCGATTGTACGCGGTATCGGTTTGTACTCGTGCCTAATACTATTGTCACAACGTGCCCTGAATTTATGTGACGTAACCCCAGGGCGTTTGATGAAGATGATTGTTTTTGCGAGTAGTCGATCAATAATTCTAAATTAAAATTAATTTGATTAATCAAATTGTTTATTTACAACAAAATGTCTTAAATAATTAAATATTTAATAAAACAATTATAAATAAATAAAATTTTGCTATATTCAATGATGACTTTTGTTAGATTGCACTGTACTTTCTTAAATATTGGTGTTTTAAAAAATATAAGCTCATCCTGATGTTACACTCATCAAAACCTTTCATTTGAATACCCACATGCATTTTTTATATATTTTTCATATATACCTATATATAATATATATTTTAAAGATATAAGCTCATCCTGAGATTACACTCGTCAAGAGCTTTCATCTGAGTACCCACTTGCATTTTTGATATATTTTTCATATATACATATATATAATATATATAAATATATAAAATATATGAAAAATTGATGTGGGTACTCAAATAAAAGGTCTTAATGAGAGTAACATCAAGATGAGTTTATATCTTTAAAAATGTCAATAGTTCACAAGATATAAGGTCATTTCTTAATAAATCGCCTGATACCAATAGTTATCATTTTTAATACCTGGAAACAATTGGCTAAAATTAACCAAAGAACTCGAAGTCTTAACAGTCGTTGTAAAAGCCGCTGTGCTTTCCGGCGGACAAACTCGAAGAAGAATCCTCAGTGGCAATTGAATTATTTTATCTACAACTTTTAAATCACCTTTTTCCGTTTCGTAAGACATCGTAAGACGTAATTCCGAGGACAATATTGTCTCGGTCCCATTAACCTCAACTTTTACTTGAATTTGTTGCCGATCTCCTGTTTTATAAATAATATTTCAACCACAATAATTGTCATTACTTATTACCGTGTGAAAGACACTTACGTAAGCTGGGGAATGAATAATAATCTTCAGTAACTACCAAAGGCTTCAGTACGGACAGATTAACTTCAACATCGCTTATTATCGAGTATGAAGACAATTCAATGTTCATTTTGCAACTCGGCGATGTGAATGCATACGAGTTGGCATTTTCTGGATGTGTATCATAAGGAGGATCTTTGGACACTTCTGTTGTTGTTTTGATAACTATTTCCGACTCCATTACCGCCTTTGTCATTTTATCTGATCAAAATTCAAATTTTTACCCTTTTTTTTTTTTTGCTATTACAATTAAATTTTCTTAATACCTGCCGCAGTTTTTTTAGAAAGCTTTCTTAGTTCCAAAAGCTCTTGTTGAGCAGCTTTGATGTCGAATTTTCTTGAATTAATCGGCGGGGCAACAAATAGAGACGGCTCGGCGCCAAGGTAACAAGCTTCGAGTCGTCCTTCTTCAGATAAAATCACAATTACTCCTTCTAAATTCTAAAAAATGTATTTTTAGTTCAATAACTCTCAATTTAATAAATTAAATTCTTAATAATTAATGAATCTTTCTATCAGTGTAACTTTTACAAAATTTATTTCAATAGTTAATTTATAAAAGTTAACTCTCTTATAGTGAGAAGATTCAGCGACCATGCGCCACCTGTTGGAATTTTCCAAAACTATATAGGATTTTTTATATTTAATAATTATTAACAGTTAATAAATTATTGATTAAATACAATTAAATGTTAAAAAATATCTTTTAATATTTAATAAATTAAATTATTAATAAATCTTATCTATATTTTCTTGTCTTGTCCTTAAAATCAGGTTTTGTTTCATTAATTTAAAGTCAATTCTAATTAATCAATTAAATATCTTAATCTTTCTACTGATCGCTTCAATCAATCATTATTCTAGGCTGTTAAAAATAGTTTTTATCGGAATTTATAATAATAATTATAATAAAAATTTTTATCAAAAGCTTACATGTTAAGTGAGGGAAGGGAAGCAGTCAATGATTTCTGATAAAAATGATATTTATAGAGGCTTTTTTTCTTTTTAGAGGACACGGAAACGATAACATAAATTAAATTCACTCTTTAAGGTCATCTTATAATAATAATAATAATAATAATAATAATAATTATTATTATTATTATTATTATTATTATTATTATTGTTGCTATAATTAGAGTTTAAAAAAAATTATAAACGATAATAAATTTTAGTGGGATAATGTTAGAGTTTATGTAGGTATAATTTAAATAATAAAAGTAGTTTATAAAGTTTTACCTGAAACTGTGCGCGTACAATTGCGACAGGTGTGAAAGGCAATTGCGCGGACCACTTGAGTGTTGCGCCCTCGTAAACCAGCAGGGTGTCCGTGTCGGCGACGACAAGAACCATCAGTTTACCGTCTGGTTCTGAAAATTATAAATATAAATTGAGGAAATTTATAAAAATGTTTTCTACATCGTTATATTAATAACAATAATAAAAATCTTATGTACCAATTACATAAGCATGAAAACAGACGGGACAGTAATCAAGTTTCTTAGTATATTTAACGGCTGTACAATTGTCACGGAAGCAATAGAGATTTCTCTCACCGAGGACAATAATTCCGACCTCAAAACTACTTAAAGTCACAGTCTGGATCCCAAGTATCGCCTCTCCAAGATTATAAGTCCAGTCGGGTTCAAGCCACTTATCACTATTATCATTTTTATCTGTCTCTATTAGATTTTTTTTTTCTTCTTTTCTTCTGCTAAACTCTGCCATATTTTGATACCTAATAAATATTTAATAATATCGCTATGTTTATATGAATAGATTTTTAAATAATAAATTATTGACAATATTATTAAATTGTACTGTATTTTTTTTAATTTTGACATTTTTAAAGATATAAGCTCATCTTGATGTTACACTCATCAAGAGCTTTCATTTGAGTACCCACATGCATTTTTGATATATTTTTCATATATTGATATATATAATATATATTTTAAAGATATAAGCTCATCTTGATGTTATACTCATCAAGAGATTTTATTTGAGTACCCACATGCATTTTTGATATATTTTTCATATATACATATATATAATATATATAAATATATGAAATATATGAAAAATTGATGTGGGTACTCAAATGAAAGGTCTCGATGAGTGTAACATCAGGATGAGATTATATCTTTAAAATTGCCAATAGTTCACAAGATACAAGGTCACTTCTTAATAATATAGATTATTCAAAGATATAAAAAAATAATTTACAATTTTAATGACTGTCATCGTAGTTTGCATACATTATTATTAGTGGGAATATTACTCTCGAGTTTACTATTTAAAATGACGTTAAGTGTGCTTGGAATAAATTATTTATGTTTATACTTGTTGGCAAATATTTATTGCTTTTTATAGACAGATTGGTTAGATAATTTTTTAAATAATTCATCATCCTTTTTAAAATTGTTATAAATAAAAGGGACACAAAATTGGAGCAAATTAATGTCTTGCGTAATATTATAAAATACAAAATAAGATATAGTTATAGATAGACATGTGAAATTACACAAAAGAGTTGGTTCAGAGTTTATATTCTACTCATCATGATCTCGAGGTCTCGACGCCGGCGCCTAGACGATCAGCGACCTAATTGCAAATTACACTTGCATATTTTTTATATTAATTAAGTGTACTTTGCTACCAACAGAGAAGAATCATGAGGAAACCTCCTCCCTGACATGTAAGCTACAACAATACCAAGCTCGATAAAAATAAATTTGATGTATAAAATCGAAGATAACGATGCTAAAATTATAAATAATACATTGTGAGACAAGATTATACACGTTTAATTATTTATATTAGTAAGAGAATAAGAAAAATTTGTCTCCAGTATAGTCATATGATAAAATTAGGTTTTTTAGTGTCATTGTAAAGGTCTTAATGACTTTGTATCTTGTGAACTACATATTGACATTTTTAAAGATATAAGCTCATCCCGATGTTACACTCATCGAGACCTTTCATTTGAGTACCCACATCAATTTTTCATATATTTCATATATTTATATATATTATATATATGTAGATATAAAAAATATATCGAAAATGCATGTGGGTACTCAAATGAAAGGTCTTGATGAGTGTAACATCGGAATGAGCTTATATCTTTAAAATATATATTATATATATGTATATATGAAAAATATATTAAAAATTGATGTGGGTACTCAAATGAAAGGTCTTGATGAGTATAGAATCAAGATGAGCTTATATCTTTGAAAACGTCAATATTTAAGAAAGTACTGAGCAATTTAATAAAATTAATTACTTAATAAAGCAAAATTTATTATAGTACACAAGTCACAGCAGTCACATAGTGACTGCAAAGTTGCTAGTAAATATTAATGTATCTCAAAAAAATTAACTGTACTGAGAATAATGAATAACTATGACCTGTAGCATTCAAGTATCCAGCCAGGACTCGAAGTTATAAAAACATCATTCCTCGGTACATATGCAACTTGCTCAGGCAGCAAACGGTCTTTCAGTACTTGCTGAAACGTGTGTGTTTCCTGTTCATAGAAAAGCATAGTCCCGTCGAGGCACTGGACGCTGAAAAAATCTCGGCCGCGAGCACCGCCAAAAGCACCGGCTGTCAGAGATGCCGGAAAACCGGGCAATTCATGGGAGTAAACTACTTCCAGGATGCATCGATCACCTGAAAAATAAATAAATTCTCTAATTTATTTTTTTCGATGGAAATATTTAAATAATTAATGCATTAGAATGTTTTTGTTCCATCAGCTTCCTCCTAAATCCCATTATCACATTATTATTTTTCTACTCCGCGTTTCTTGCCGAGTTTACCTGATTATACTCTACCCTTTGAAGATCCTGCCGAAGCAAAGTCACTGGCCAATTAACGTAATGAGAGCCGCATATCCAATCAGTAAACGAGCTATTTCATTTTTCTTATTATACATTCCGATGTATAAAACCCGTTAATTATTTTTTATCATTATAGACTTTATTTTTTTTTATTTAATTTTTAAAACCGAGGAAAATATTTTATTGAATACCAAAAATGATATAGATGTAATTTAATAAATATCCTCTTGTTAGTTTCTTGTTATCTTAGAGAGCTAACGAAGTATGACAGGCAGAATGAAATAAATTAAGTGAACAAGTTAAAAAAAGAGAGATAAATTAATAGAGACAAGTCCTATAAATTCTTCAATCATTTCGTTTTTAATTTATAAGACGCTTCTCACCTTTTACTTTACTGTTTATTACAATAATTAATATCAATAATTTATTTGAAGATAATTAATTTATTAAATTTTAATAAATAATTTATTAACTGTTAATAATTATTAAATATAAAAAAATACTATTTAGTTTTGGAAAATTCCAACAGGTGGCGCATGGCCGCGGAATCTTCTCGCTATAAGAGAGTTAATTTTTATAAATTAAGTATTGAAATAAATTTTGTAAAAGTTACTCTAATAGAAAGATTTATTAACTATTAATAATTTAATTTAGTTGAAGACATTTAATTTATTATTAAATTTCTATTTTTATCTATAAATCATTTATAATTAATGATGTACCCTTGAGATCATTAATTTGGAACCTGTTAGATAATAATAACCTTGAACTAACGGAGCTTAAACTTCCCGATCGATTAATTTAAAGAAAAAGTAAATTTTTCCACTTGAAAAAAAAAAAAGGAATAAAAATTAGTGAGAATAATGGTTTATCGAAGACACGCACAGGTGGTGCCTTACAAATAATAATTATAATAAGATTAATAAAATAAAGTTCGACGAACCATGCTCAGTTGATCCAGGGGTAAAAGTAACAGCATAAACGAGAAGCTTGCTGGGTGTCAGAATACCCAGTCGTAGATCCTGAGAACCCCTGTAACAGCCAAGTGATTACCATCCTTTTAAGATGACGTGAAACGATCCAGTGTTGTTCTGTATAATATACCTAACCGACTTAACTGGTATTATCTGTCTACATTTATACATTTTATATATTTAATACATTCATACATTTTCTCTGTGTATATATTATACACTTTCCTCGAGGAGTTTAACAAGGAGGGAGACCAGTATCATTATCGAAACCATCAGAATTAACAATAATAATGATAGTAGCTCGCAAAGGGAGAGGTTTATGCTAATTACTCCGTCTCTACTCAGTTAAAACACGTGCTATGTACATATTACGATAAAACATTAATGTAACTGCACTTGTATAATATTTTCGTCGAGAAATATTAACTTTGTTTTAATGATCATGCGTTTATATTAATGACCCGTAATTTCAAAATTAATAAACCATAATTGACACTTTCAATATTTTCTATTTTATATTATTATTATTATTATTATTATTATTATTATTATTATTATTATTATTATTATCTAGTGATATAAAGTGAATAAATTATTATTGTAGATTAAGACTTTGCAGAGTGTGAGATTATTAGTTAATTTGAATAAAAATTAACTTGGAAAAATTACCCTTGTCAAAATTAATATCAAATAATAATAATTAAATTATTTTTCTTAAAAATAATCACAAAAAAAAATTTATTAAAATTTTTTAAGAAACTTTTTTAATTATTAAAAAGAATTTTGATTTTTTTTAATTATAAAAAAAACCAAAATATTGAATTTTAACATTTTTACTGATATAATTAGACATTTTTAAAAATATAAGCTCATCTTGATGTTACACTCATCAAGACCTTTCATTTGAATACCTACATCAATTTTTCATATATTTTAAATATTTATATTTATTATATATATGTATATATGAAAAATATATCAAAAATGCATGTGGGTACTCAAATGAAAGCTCTTGATTTTTAAAAATATAAGCTCATCTTGATGTTACACTCATCAAGACCTTTCATTTGAATACCTACATCAATTTTTTCTTATATTTTTAAATATTTTATATTTATGCATGTGGGTACTCAAATGAAAGCTCTTGATGAGTGTAACATCAAGATGAGCTTATATCTTTAAAAATGTCAATATTTAAGAAAGTACAGTGTAATTTAAGAAAATTATTTAATAAATCAAAATTCTATTTACTCATAGTTTTAGAATTTTAAAAATTACTCACGATACAAATCTTCCAGCCTTAACATCAATAATACAGTCGGCTATTTTTGACTCAACTATCAAATCCGTCAATTGATACCCCGTAGGGTTTATTTTTTCTTCATCCCATTTAGAAGACGGACTGTACAATCTTAAAAATCCACTGTGACTTGACACGACAATAATATCTTTCCTATCATCACCAAACAGCGGAACTACAAGAAGACTCTGACCGTCGAAAACTTCTTCACCGCCACCGCACTCTGTTCTCCACCACTCGCGTGTTCGGAACAAAGACATCCTTTGAATTAACAATAAGGAAGATAAAAATTACAGACAATCTTATAGAATTGCATTGAGTTTGTTTGATTGCCGGTTATAGACTGCTCTAGTATTACCAGGTAGCCTTTCGTTGTCATGGTTACGAACCGACAAACATTTCCATCTTCTATATTTCATTTTTTAATTATTAATTAAAATTAATTATTAAAATTTTAATTTAATTAATAAAAATTATAAATTTTAAATAAATTAGAAAAGAAAATTTATATTTTTTTGCATTAAAAATTTGATTTTTTTTTTAATTTAAAATTTGGCGCTAAAGTTAGTTTTTAAAATTTCTGCAAGGCGGCGCCACTTTATAGTGAAACACTCAGCTGTTCGGAAACTGACATAACAATTATTTTTCTGCATAAAGAAGATAACAAATTAAAGTAATTTAATTGTTATAAATTTGTAATTTTATATTTAAAATATTAATTATTGTTTTTTAATTACAGCTAAGCTTTTAATAGTTTAAAAAATCAATATGGAGCCGCAAGATATTTATTATGACAGAGCTGAATATATTGAAACGGTAATACGTCAAAATTTATTTTATTAATGATAAAAAATTATTAATTAATAATTAATAATTGTTTAAATTGTAAAAATAAAAATTTCAGGCATCTGGGAATAAAGTGAGCAGACAAACAGTTTTATGCGGCTCGCAAAATATTGTTTTACATGGCAAGGTTATTGTTCAATCTGATGCTATTATTCGTGGAGACTTGGCGAATGTTCGCGTTGGAAGATATTGTATAATTAGCAAAAATGTTGTGATAAGACCGCCGTTTAAAAAATTCAGCAAAGGGTAATTTATTTATTTTAAAATTTATGACATTTTATAATTTTTTAATCTTGAAATAACTAAGCCAAGAAAATTTATTTTAATGAAATTTATTCAATAAATTATTTGTTAAAAAAAAATTAAAAATTCTTACGAAATAGTTTGAAATAAAAAAATATTAATTAACATTTATAATTTCAGAGTTGCATTTTTCCCATTACAAATGGGTGACCATGTATTTGTTGGAGAACGTGCTGTTGTCAATGCAGCTGTAGTTGGATCTTATGTTTACATTGGAAAGAATGCAGTAATAGTAAGTTTTTAAATCAATTTTTTTTATTAATCATCTTCTTGACAAGGCAGTTATGTCTAAAGACCTCTCAATTAAAAAATTCGATCAATTCAGGCTAGTAAAAAATTAAAAAAAAGTTGAAGCTAATTATTAGAAACAAATTCTTCTCCAAAAAAAAAAAAAAACGGGAAATTTTAAAATTATTTTTTATTCAACTACATTGACAGAAGGATTTGATTATATTCAATAAGCTTCAAATAAATAAAATTTTGCTTTATTAAATAATGACTTTTGTTAAATTACACTGTACTTTCTAAAATATTGACATTTTTAAAGATATAAGCTCATCATGATGTTATACTCATCAAGAGCTTCCATTTGAGTACCCACATGCATTTTTGATATATTTTTCATATATACATGTATATATATAATATATATTTTAAAGATATAAGCTCATCCTGAGGTTACACTCGTCAAGAGCTTTCATTTGAGTACCCACTTGCATTTTTTGATATATTTTTCATATATACATATATATAATATATATAAACATATAAAATATATGAAAAATTGATGTGGGTACTCAAATGAAAGGTCTTGATGAGTGTAACATCAAGATGAGCTTATATCTTAAAAAATGTCAATATTTAACAAGGTCATACAAGGTCATTTCTTAATTAAGTATCAAGAAATTTAATAAATTAAAGTTAATAAATCCTTCTATCAATGTATCAAGATGAATGACGATAATAACAATAATTAAATCTCAGGGCAGACGATGCATTCTGAAAGATTGTTGCTTTATTGAGGATAACGCAGTAATACCACCAGAAACAATCGTTCCGTCATTTACTAAATTTTCTGGAAATCCAGCAATGGCAGTGGAGGATCTACCTGAGTGTACATTAGATCTAATGGTTGATTTCACCAAAAACTACTATCAGCATTTCCTTCCGGCAACAAAATAGTTCATCATTTTTTTTTATTTATTTTTTTTACTTAGGTATAATTAATTAAAATTATAATAAATATTACAACTATAATTTTATTGATATTAGTGATTTGCTACAACAAATTTTATTCGATAGCTTCTAATGATTCTCCAGAAGTCTGTCTTGATTGTTGATGTTGTTCAACGTCGTTCTCACTTTCAGAAGAATCATCATTCTTACTTTCACGGCTAAAAAAGTAAATTATAATTTATAATTAAATGAAATGGCTTTTAATTGAGTTATCAGGAAATTAATTGAGTAAATTGATACCATCTGTGGTAAATAATTTCAATAAATAAAACTCCAAATGCGATAGCAACTCCATAAATAATAGTGTAAAAAGCGGCATAACATTCTGTTGTTCCAACACTTATAAAACTGGTCTGACCTACACAAACTGGTTTTTTGGTAAATAATCTTGGTGTGTCGCGTTGTTGTAGTCCAGCTTCGCGTAACCAAAGTGATCTAATAACAATAATAATAATTCAAGTTCGAGAGTATGGTAATAACCCGAATTATAAATATAGGAAATTCCGAATTTTATAAATTTACATTCCGATAACTGTATTCTTAGAAAGGCGACAACCTTGTTCTACAATTTTATTAAATTTACTTATTTCAAATTTTTAAAATTATTTTAAAAATTAAATAATGAATTTTGTAAAATTGCACTGTACTTTCTTAAATATTGATATTTTTAAGATATAAGCTCATCCTGATGTTACACTCATCAAAAGCTTTCATTTGAGTACCCACTTGCATTTTTGATATATTTTTCATATATACATATATATATATATATATGAAATATATAAAATATACGAAAAGTTGATGTGGGTATTCAAATGAAAGGTCTTAATGAGTGTAACATCAAGATGAGCTTATATCTTTAAAAATGTCAATATTCCACAAGAAACAAGCTCATTTTATCTTAAAACTATCCTGGAGGCAAAATTTTTTTTATTATATTAATAATATAGATAATTAAAAAAAAATACCAACCCAACTTTAAATATTTCGCGATAAGGAGATCTCCGCTTAATAATAAGCATTGGATCAAGTACACCCATATAATCAATCTCTTGTAATCCACATTTTTCGTCTTCGTCATAAGTCTCTTGCATCAATTGATACCCAGCCGCAGTGTCAACATGGAATGCGAATAATCCTTTTCTCACTCTTTCAATCCCATCTTCCATAGTTAGCCATATTGAAGATTTATTTGTTACAAAACGTTCTCTAAATTCCCTCCGTATCGGATCATCTAGTGCCTATCATATTAATAAAAAAAATATTAAAAAGAATCACTGAAAAAATTTTAAATAACTATTAATTACTCCAAAATAATATCGATTGTAAACAATATCGTAGATTCCAAATTTTAATCCACTTTGTATGAGATCCTTTAAAGTATTTATTGAATTAGATGTTGACTGTAAAAGAGCGACAATATTTGCCGTGTAAGATGCATAGAGACTCAACGCTGCTAAAAGTAACATTAATGTTATTATTCTTGACGAAATTGTCCGTGGTTCGTATGACAATCCTGTTTAATTTTATTTATTATTTTTTATGATTAGTATTGAACAAATAGATTGATAGATAAATGAGCGACCTTGTTGAAAAATCGCGCTTGAGAGAATTAATAAATCGTCACTTAATGAAGGATCCTTTTGCAAGTCGTCAGGATGTCGGGTATCTTCTTCGGACTCTAGTGTTTTTTTCCACTCCCATTTCAAAGTAATATACAAAAATCCGCAGATAACACACGTCATTACGGCAATAGCATACCAAACTGCGCGCCCAAATGGTAGAGTGAATAAATTACTCACATAAGACAGTGGAGGTTTGCGGAATACAAATTTAGATCTTCAATTTTAAGTCATAAATAAATAAATGAATATATTAACAAGTCAATTGTGATGAAAGTATTCTATGGTGGTAGTGTAAATAATAAATAATGTAACAGTTTACCCGACAGGTGTATAAAGGTGTAAGTATTCTATTACGCCGATCCTTTGTTTTATCAGGAATGTCGCTGTTCCACCAAAGTCGATTTCATTCCGATCCAACAATCCAATCATTCCACTCCATGTTCCATTTTGGTCTTGATAACCCCAAGTGTTTCGCCATGTGTATGTTACTCTTTTTAAATTAAAAAAAAATTATTAATATAAATTATAAGTTTTCTTAAATATTCATTCATCATTCATTAATCTACTAGTTAGATAAAATTTATTTGAACATTTAATATATTAATAATAAAAGAAACAGTAAATACGTGGCATTAATGCGATTAACAAGATGCATCATCCATATGTAGTTAGCTTTGGTAACAGCGTCAATCCTCTTATCTTTGTAATCCGTTAAATGATTTAATGTGTCTGGATTAACCAACTGATAATAATAATAATAATAATAATAATAATAATAATTATTATTATTATTATTATTATTATTATTATTATTATTATTATTATAAATTAAATGAGCCTGAAAAGTCAAGTAATGATAAATATTTACCACGAGACACGTTTTTAGGGGGGTTAAATGAAGATTCCTTCTTCGCTGCGAGGCAGGTATTGAGTCCACAAAATTTACACCGTTCAAAGCGTCCCAATTTCCTCGGTATTCAAAAATCAAGTTCACGTACATGCTAGGCCGGTAAATAGATAGTATATTGATTGAATCATTTTTTAATCTCTGTGCAAGGTATAATTCACTGTCAGGAAAAATTCCTAAGCCGTCAAACTGATTTTTTAAATTTATTTGAGATGAATTATTAGTTGTTGTATCTTGCAAAAGTAACCATCTTGTTGGAGCAACAAACATTTCACTTTCTTCAGCCTACAATTTTAATAAATTAGTTTTTATTTTATTAATTAATGAATTATTTTATTTAATAATTTATTTATTTAACAATTTTTTATTAATTTATTTATTTATTTGAACACCAGTCGGTATTATAAAACAATTAATATATTCCTTAAATTATAAATTTTTAAATTATAAAATTTTGGTTCAAAAATTGCTCAGAAATAAATTTATTTGTTGATACCTAGAAAAAAATTAATAATTTTTATTAAATAAATTTTTTAATAAAATTATTTTTATTTTAAAATTAAAAAATAAAATTTCTAAGAACTATTTTAGTAAAAATTTCAAGTCATTAATAATTCATGAAAAAGAAAAATAATTTGGAAAAACCTAAAGTAAATATTCTTAGAAAAAGCCAACGGTAATCATAAAATAAATTATTTTAAGGAGTAGTTTGTTAAATGCCTCAACTTTAGGCCCTTTTTCTTTCTTTTGAGCATTAAAGAGACTTACAAAAGCCTCCCTTAGAAATTGGGACGTACCCAATTACCTGACAAAGTAATAAAACTCCAGTTTATTTTAATTTAACGTCATAATTCTTTAGAATAGTTACAGAGTCTGTTAATTTATAACAATGTCATATTTTAACTATTATATTGAAGATAATAATTTATACAATATGATTTAAAATAAAATAATGTAAATAACTAATTGCAAACAGTAATTGTTGCAAACTCGACCGTGAAAAAAAGTAAATATAATATAAAAAAAGTCATATAATCCTTGAAAAATAATATATTAACATGCCCGATCATTAACTCATCAGCGCGACACTAATCAGATGAATAATATAAAATGTACATTCCAGAGATTTGCTGATTAGCATTTACACGAAACTCTAAATTTTTTAATTATTTTTATTCACACTTTCAATAAATTTATTTATTATTAATTATAAAGCATTACCTTTAAAAGTAATTCAGTGGCATCTGGACAGTCAACATCGAGAATATATAAATTTTGATGTGATAATTTCAATTCTTGATTATCTTGAAAATCGTATTGGTGACTAATTAGATTTTTTATATTATTAATTATATTATTTTGCGATAATTTTTTTGATAATTTTAAATCTGAAAATTATTAAAAAACAGTAAAATTAAATTTTTTAAATAATAAAAAAAAAAAAAAAAAAAAAAATACCTGAATTAAAACAAAAAAATCCTGTAACAGTTAAAGGCGCTCTGATGGCTTTAATCATGTCGACAATAAATGTTTCGGTAATTAGATCAATTTCGTGAGAGTTTGTAGCGATAAAAAGACAGAAAAAAATTTTATAAAAAAATAGTTTCATTTTTTTTATTTAGCGGAAGAGGAAAAAATTGTAACACTAGATAAAATTTATGAAATTTATCAAATATAAATTAAACAATGAATTGATAAGGAAAAATGTACGATAAGTTTTACAAATGAAAAGGTCGGAGAATTAATAATTTATAGTGTAATGTTTTATTTTCTTTTTTGAAATGCAGACACGCGACATTCGTGGAAATAAAACCGGCAATTTTATTAATTCTACCTTTTGTGATATTCTTTATTATTTTATAGAATTATTTATCAGACAATTGGTGTGTAAAGACTTATACATCAGATCTATAATTTTTGAGAGTAGTTTAATTTATTGACAATAAAATTTTCGCAAAACTTTATAATAAATTTATTTATCAAAAATTAAATAAAATATTGCTGTTACTCGAAGTCACGTCATTTATTAATTGAAAAATTATCTACCATAAATGTTTCTATTATAATATTAAATTATCATTAATTCTGATTCTATCAAAGTTGTACTTATAAAAACATTATTCATTTTTATTCCTATAATTTCAATAACTTATAACAATTATTGTTAAATTATTTAGATCCGCTTGAAGAATGAATTTTAATTAAAAAAATAAAGAATATAACTTAAAAATTGTTAATACACTCGAGTAATGATTTTACAATCAAATACTCGCTTACTCAAACGTATGTAAGATTTTTATCAACAAACACGAGATCACTGTCTGATAATCATACATCGCTTCACGTGAGTAAAATAAACCACGCGATTGACATATCTAAAGTATGAAAATTATTTTTTTCCTTATTGACAAATTTATATAATGCATTTAATTATTTTTTCATAAACAAACTAATTAAATTTTCAATATAAAAAAAATCATTTTGATAAAATAAATGCTTTATCAAATAATATTTAATGACGAGGTGTGTGACTCGTGTACAGCCAATGATTTGAGCGTGAATTGCTATGCCTCCAGCAAACATTTTATTGTCTCGTCTGTGTGTGATTGTATTTGTTATACACACTAAATACATCATTCTAGTGACGATGATATTACAAGTTGGGATTTTTTAGTTTTTTTTTTTTTTTTTTTTTTTTGAAATGAGCACTTAAAGTCCTTATCAAATCTAGTCGAATTATTATCGTGATAGTTTAAAGAAACTTAATCTTTATCTATCTCTATATCTGTTTTTTAATTGATGTACCGTCAATTATTATTATTATTATTATTATTTAAAATCCCTATATTCAAATATTTCTATTAAATGTTATATAATTTTATGGTATTTAAAATATTTTTTTTTTTTTAGATAATTATTTATAATTTTTAATTATTTTTATTTTTTATTTTGATTCAAAAAAATTTTTTAATTTTATTAACAATTAAAAGATAAAAAATTGATTTTTAAATTAATTTTTTAACTTTAAAAAAAAAATTGTATAAATTTTTTAATTAAAATTTATTCAATAATTAAAAAATTAAATATAAATTCTAAAAAAAAATGTATACGTATAAATATATATATAAAAAGATCAGGAAAATAGAATGAGAGTAGGTATATTATAATATAAAATAAATTGTGCGTTCTGCGTAGCTTGTAAAAATCAGAGAAGGGAGAAGCAACTGCGTAAGTGCGAGTCGCATTACATCCGATGTACAATACTAAATATTTTACATGTATGTGGTACATACTAAAAATTTCCACGCATACAATTACAATTTAAAATAATATAAATACATTAGTCTGGCATGAAGAGATAATTTATAAGTGTATGTTCATGTAGCTCGGCTTTACTAGTGACGACAAAATAAAATGTTTATGTATTGAGTATAGAAGTATACAAGTATTGAAGTATAGAAGTGTGGAGGTCTAAAGTGTCGCAGCTACCGGCAGCTTTCTGCCAGTGACACACTGACCACGCTGTGAGTGGCTGTGAGTTCTATCTCAGTCTACTTCCTAAGTACTCAATCATCTTCCTATTTGTTTTATTTATTACATTTTTTAGTAATTAATTAATTCAATTTTTATTCATATCCGTGATTAATTTTTTAAAAAATTAGTTTTTAATAATGGGTGCAGACAACGGCATTTCTAAAGTTGATATCAAAAAACCAAATGAAGTTTTTGATTCTGAAGTTTCCGTTCCAAAAAGTAAGTTTATTTTTTTTTTTTTTTTTTTTTTTTTTTTTTTTATAAAAATTATTAATTGGTGGCATTATTAAAAAATTATTTATTTTCATTGAATTATTAGATTATTAATTTTTATTAAATTATTAAAAAATTATTAATTAGTGACATTTTTTATTATAATGAACTTGACATAAAAATAGTGTCTTACTTTCGAATAATTAAAATAAAAAATTTTTGCATATAATAAAATAGAGTACAATTTTTATTATTCAATTTTTTTATTAAAAAAAAATGAGTGCTAAAAGCGACGAGTAAATTATTACAAAAGACTTTCTCTCTTACGTATGCAATAATAATAATAATAATAATAATTATTATAAAGTGTCAATTGACTTGCTAATTTTTTTTTCAGTGAATTAAAATCCATTTATTTGCTCTTGAGTAATAAAATTACTCCAAAAATTAAATTTTCAATTTTTTATTGTTTTAGATAGTTAAAACTTTAATAAATATTTACTAGTAAAATTTATTTATCTTTTGTTACTGATAACTTAATTGTTAAAAGATAAACATAAACCGATAATAATAGTAATTGCTTTTAAAATCAAATATTACAATCACTTATAAATATTTTTATTTAAATAAATTTTTTAAAGATCAAAAATAAAGAAAAATTGTTGACTTTTAAGAGTGTAATAAACTAGTAATTTATTGACACAATCTTTGCACGTGTTACGGAAGTGTTTGTACTAGAGTAATCTGTTAGTCGAGCAATTAAAAAGAGTATCTTCGATTATGATATTAGAATCACTTGAATTATCGATTGCATCAGAGCTTAACTATTAATAATTAAAATTTTTAAACTTTAATCCAGTAAATGTCATTTTAATTATTTATAAACAATCAATAGTTTTTTATTTAATGTCACCGGACTATTATTGTCCCTGGCTTGATTAATTGCTTCTAAGAAGACATTCCTAAATATTCACTGGTTAATTCTCTAAAATTTCATCAATCATTTTAATATTTTTTATTGATATAACTATTTTTGTAATTAATTTTAACGACACGATAAGAGTTTTATTTATAACAGCCAATTGCTGACATGTCAAAAAATATTATTATTATTATTTTTTCTAAGGCGTAACATCAAGGTTATTCAAGTATTTTATTATGTACAGGTTAAATAAATTACAATTATTATTTTTTTATTATTAATTTTTATTGCTAAAAAAAATTTTCAATTTGAATTTTATAAAAAAATTTTTTTAGCTTTTTATTAATTAATTATTAATTATTAAATTAATTTTAATTAAACAGAAGTTCTTAAAATTAATTATTATTCAAGAAAACAAATTTAAAATCAGTTCATAATAATTATTTAAAATCCCAGGAATTAATAATTCTAAAAAACATTTTATTATTTTATTTGTTCACGTTGTTTCACTTTCTCTTTAAATAATTATATATATATATAAAAATATATTCATTTAAATTGACTCATAAAATCAGTCATATTAATAAATAATTTATTTAAATGGATATAATTATCGGTATGTAGACATAATCATAATATTCTATACTTGATCTTGTATATTTATTATATATGTAACATGAGGATAATACTTGCTCGATGATTAAAGCGGAAAATAGTCATTAAAAGCATCTACTAGCACTCAAGGTGCTGTTTACAGTCTCTCTTAATTACACTATATAATACCTATGTTTTATAAATAAACAATATATACGTCGGTATGTCAATTTAAAATTAGTATTGATGGGATTAGATATTTTTAAGCTTTACTTTACTAAATGTTTTATTTTTATTCTTTATTTTGTTACAACATATATTCACTTAGTATAATGCACTAATAAAAGAATTTTTAAACTACTAATAATTTAATTTATTTGAAAAAAATTATTTAATCCATTAAATTTTAATAAATATTTATTAATAGTTAAAAAATCATTTATTAACAGTTAATAATTATTAAATATAAAAAATCCTACATAGTTTTGGAAAATTCCAACAGATGGCGCATGGTCGCTGAATCTTCTTGCTACAAGAGAGTTAACTTTTATAATATAAGTATTGAAATAAATTTTATAAATGTTACACTGATAAAAGAATTTATTAACTATTAATAATTTAATTTAATAAATAATTTATTGACAGTTATTAAAGCTTATTAAATATAAACAAATCCTTTTATCAGTGTGAAAGTGAGCTTAACAAAGTTTAATGAATAATTTTTAGCATCCGGTCTGTCAATAAATTGGAGCGATAGGATGATGCTATTTATTTATTCAAAAAGTTATTTTTTATTCACCCTTGACATTAATAATCTAAAAAACTATTTAAATTACAGTAAATAAATAATCTATTAGTCGAATTTTATAATATCTAATAAATTATAATATATATTTAAGGCTGAAAAAATATGAGTAAGAACCAACAATGATTGAATTATAAATTATTAAGGTCAAGCGTGAGTCTCAGTAATAATTTCACCTCAATTTATTCTCTCAAAGTAAAAAGACTAGATTCGAATGAAAAGAGTTGAGAGTTGACGCTATCAGTGGGTTTTAACATCTCGCGGTTATTCACGTAATCAGATAATCAGGAAATCGCCAACATCCTCGTTCTACTTTTAACAGGAAAGACGATCCTATTTTATTTGTTGATTTAAACTATTATTTTTTACTCTAATAATTAACAAAAATTAAATTTAAACTACAAATTTTTTTTATAGCCGGCAGTCGATAATTTTCTGAATTATCAACTGATGTTAAATTAACAATTTATTTTATCAGCTGTCAATAAAATCCAATTTCTAAATTTAAAAAAAAAATCCAAGAATTTTTATTAAAAATATTTGAGTTTAAATTTAATAAAATATTTATTGAAAAAATGATTTATTAATTTATTAAGTATGTTACAATTTAATGCGCAATTTCACTGACACGGTATGCGTCATGTTCCACAAGTAAGAATAATACTCGACCTTGTCGGTGTAATTACACGAATTTTATAAATAAACACATGAAACAATTATCATTTAATTACTATCCTTTGAATTCTAAAATTCTGCTCCAGTATTTTAAAATAAAGACAATTTAATTAATAATCTAATCTTCAATTTAAAAAAAAATTAAGATTGATAAAAATGAACCGTGACCTTGTAATTTGATTTCTTTTTTTATAAAATTATTATATTCTGCAAGTAATGCAAAAATGATAAAGCAAGAAAAATTAAACTCCATTTATTAGGAAGCTAATTAAACAATTAATCATGAGTATAAAAAAACTTGAGCAATAATTTTTGGCACATTCAACAAATGTTAAAATAAACTTTGCGTCTCGGCGGTTAACTTTATTTACGAATGTCATTTTTAAATAAACTGACATTTGTATATAAACTTTTACTTGTATCTTAATAACAACAACAATAATAAAAATTTAAAATTTAAAAACAAATTATTTGCTGAAATTCCAATTGTTATTTAACTTTTGGCTGAACTTCAATTTTATTATTAAACACAACATGTTATTGTTATAATTACGCTTAATATATATATATATATATATATAAAAAATAGATAATTACATCCTGTAAATATATCAATCATCGATCACGCTCTTGCACTTGGTAATTTGTTGGTAATTTATTTTTTTATTGTTATTTCTGTAATTACAATAATTTTATATGACTCGACTATTTACTTTATATTTTTTCCGCTCTTTATTATCATTATTATTATTTTATTATTTTTATTAAGAAGCATTTTAAACTTTTAAATTCTAAAAATTATTATCATTACAATGACTAAAAAAATATTTATCCAGTGAATCATAAATTAGATAATGAATTCAAAAATAATCCTTCGACTCCAATCTATAATCACAGATAAACAATAAAATAAAAAACAAAACAATTGTTTAAAAACTCATGACACATATTAAGTCATCGACAGCTAATACATCTAGCCTAAATAGATTTTAAAAAATAAATTAGCATTTATTGTGGAAATTTCCAATTAAATGACTCATTGAGAACACTTAATATTATTATAACCGTAAGTAGGAGTACTGTACTTGTAAAAATTATACTTTGAATTTATTAAAACATATTTGGTTAGTAGTTCAAGTAGAAAAATTTTTGCGCTTTAATTTACAACCAGCAGAAACTAAAATACTGATAAATGCATAAAAGTTTTCTTTTATTTTTAAAAATTAATCTTGCGACAACATAAAAGATCTAGATACCGGCAATGTCGCGTTATCGCGTATCATACAATACACCTTTCGTTTATTATTCATTGTGTAAATAGAATATTGTTAAAGAAAAAACATTTTCTTGGTTATTGTTTACTCGAAATAATTATTATTGTAATATTATCAGCTACGTAATAGTCTATAATTGTTTAATTTACAAATTTACATTAAGGATTATTTAATAAATCAACTGTGCAATGGAAACAAGCTATTTGTACGAAATATTTTTTTTTTTTCTAATAATAATAATAATAATGACATTTTTAAAGACATAAGCTCATTTTGATGTTACACTCATCAAGAGCTTTCATTTGAGTACCCACATCAATTTTTCATATATTTTATATATTTATATATATTATATATATATATATATATATGTATATATGAAAAATATATCAAAAATGCAAGTAGGTATTCAAATGAAAGCTTTTGACTAGTGTAACATCAAGATGAGCTTATATCTTAAAAAATATCAATAATTAAGTAATGACCTTGTATCTTGTTAAATATTGACATTTTTTAAGATATAAGCTCATTTTGATGTTACACTCATTGAGACCTTTCATTTGAATACCCACATTAATTTTTCATATATTTTATATATTCATATATATATGAAAAATATATAAAAAATGCATGTGGGTACTGACAAATGAAAGCTCTCGATAAGTATAACATAAAGATTAGCTTATATCTTTAAAATTGTCAATATTTAAGAAAGTACAGTGCAATTTAAAAATTATTATTTAATTAAACAAAATTTTATTTATTTATAGTGACTGCAAGGTTGCTAATATTTCATTATTATAACAAAGATAAATAAAATTTTAATCTTATAAAATTTTTAAATAAATAAAAAATGAACTTGAAAAAAATTCTAAAAATACAAAAAAAAAAAAATCTTTCAACAGCCCAATTAAAAAAAGCAACAAAATAAAAAATGACGTGAGTATTTCATAATTTTACCGCGCATTCGTCATGTCCGTCTTGGCGATCATGTGTGTGAATCACGTGCCTAATACAAGAAGATGTGTATGTCGACGCACGCACGTTTTTCCACTCCCTCCATTCTTTAAATACATTATTAAATTGCTATAAATATAGATATATTAAAACTATTAACGCGTGTATTTACTATAGCTAACTTACATACTTACAAATGTCGACATTTACACACACACACACACACACACACAGTAAGATTTCGGATTGGAGCCAAAGCCAACAGCTATGTTAAACATTTAGTTTTACGTTGAATATTTAATGCTCATTACATCGTCATTAATACCTCGGTGCATGTGTAACAACCTATCTCATATATATCCTGAGTATCGTATTAATCATAATTATCAGTATCAATACCAACACAATCAAGCTGACCACTGTGCTGGACTTGACACACACACACATATATATATTCACGTCGGGTGTATATGACGAGTAATATCTCCTCGAGCGAGAATCAGTCGTTACCTCAGTTCAATCCAAACTCACACCGATTTCGTGTCTAGTTTTTTTTTTTTTTTTTTTTAATTATTATTACTGTTAATATTTAATAATTAGTATTGTTTGAAAAGTTAATCAACATGTGTCAGATATAGTTAAAAATATTTTGGAGTAAATTTAAAGTTTAAGTGAATTATATTTATTTATCGGGGTTTCATTGATAATTGATAAGTAAAAAAATTGTGTGATGATGATTGCTGCAAATAATGATAACCGGGGAAGAAATGGCCACGTGTTGGTATGGGAGCAACCGGGTTTAGATGAAACGGATCGTCCGAAACAAACTAAAGGTAAATTTTATTATAAAAATGGAAAAAAAAATTTTATTATTTTTTTTTTTTTATTAAAAAAAATTTTAAGTGCAATTTTAAAAATTTTTTTTTGCTCCAATTTAATATTAAATAAATTTTTTAGAATTATAGTTTAGATTTTTATTAAAGAAAAATCCATTTTTAAAAAATTAAAAAAAATATTTTTTTGCTCCAATTTAATTAAAAAAATTAGAGATTATAATTTATAGAATTTTTTGGGAAAATATTAAAGAGAAAAATTTGAATTTGGAATAAATATTTATTTGCAAAAAAAATATTTATAGAATTTAAAAGTTAATAAAGAACATTTGTAATATGAGTCGCAAAGTTTTGCACACATATGTATGAGTATAACATAGGCAAATTCGAGTGTCGGTCGTCAAGGGAAGCGAGACGAGCACGTGCACTAAAACCCGGTCTCCTCGTGCTCACAAATACATATAAGTTGAATTTTTGTATGCGGTTTTGTCTATAATGTGTGCTATCAGTGTGACAATATATATATATATATATATATATATCTATTTTTGATGTGGTATTTGTAAGATATAGAACCAGATTGCACATAGTAGTTGAATTGAACGATTGGGACGAGCTCTACGGGGGGTTGGTAGAAACTTGTCACAGAGGGACTTTTGAATTGTTTTTTTTTTTTTAAAGAATTTTAATTTATTTAATTATTTAAAAATTTATTTATTTAAAAAAATTATAAAACTTTATGTGCAATTTTTAATAAATAAATTATGGCAAAAAAAAAAATTGAGATTTAGAAATTTTTAAAAATAAAAAATGCAATTTTTTAAAAATAATTAAAAAAAAAAAATTAGCCGACATTTAATAATTTTATTAATAAAAAATTATATAGTAATAAATAATTATATTAGTAGGTTTGTTAAAGCTTAAATAATTTTTAATCTATTTTTTTTTTAAGCCAATTTTTATTAAAAAAAAATTAGAAAAATTTTTCTTAAAACGGAGCAAATAAAAAAATAAATTTAAAACTTCAAAAGAAAGGAAGTTGAGTACAAATAATAATAATTTAAACTGGGTTTTAAATTTAAATCTTTCTATTGTCTGCGACAGACAAAAGACATTGTCTCTGTTGTAAGAAAATGTTTTAGAAAACCCTGAATAGATTATTTAATGCATCTGCTCCAGGAAAAATTTATTTCCAAGCAAAGAATTTTATTTATAAAATTGTCAATTTTAAAAATTATTGTCCAATTCCCGGTTAGTCACCGAAAAATATAAATATTGTTTAATTATTTATAGAAAGAATTGTTTTAAATTTATTAAAGTCTTAAATTTATTGAAGATATATATGTTACACATCTTAAGTAAATGTTTGCTTAACTCGTTGACATTTATTCAAAAGTATGTGTATAAATAACCACTTGTTTATTTTTATCTAGTACGCATGAGGAAAAATTTAATACATTAATTATATTTTTTATAAATTAATTAAAAATTCATCCAATTTTTTTTTTAGATAAAATAAATTATTATAAAATGATTGAGAAAGTTATTTTAATTATCAATTTAATCATTTGAATATTATAATTTTTTCCATTAAAGTACAACATTAGTATTATGATAAATTTTCTTCTTTTTAAAAAATGTATAATATAGTAATAATTATGACTTTTACGAGGCAAATACAAACTCTGGATCGCGGCCAATAAACTCAAATGATGACCTTCCTCCGTCTTTTACTATCACCGTCACTGAACTCACTATTTTTTTTTTTTTTCTATTTTATTATTAATTTATTAAGAAATAGTCTTCGCGCTGAAAATCATTATTTATAATGAATTAAAAGTGAAATTAAAGCATGAATTATTTATCCTCGGTTTAAATACTAAGTATTTATTAAATTAAAGGCCGTGGTCATAAAAGTCAATTGAATTTATAATTGAAAAAAAAAATGTGTAGGAAGCCTGGGTTATAATTGTCAATGGAAATAAATATATCGATAGTGTTTAAAAATAACTTTTATTAATAAAAGATTATCAATAGAATTTTATCATATAAATCCACTGGCCCGTAAAACATATCTTGTTAATGTTATCATAATGTCGAAATAAATATTTGTCTAAAAAAAAGGAAATTTACTTGAGTAACATTTTTTAATTTAATTATAATTTTTTCAGCATGGATCGGATCACGTCACATAGTTACATTCATGTTGTTCCTGGGGATGGCGAATGCATATGTAATGCGGACAAATATGTCAGTAGCAATTGTCGCTATGGTTAATCACACAGCTACTGAGCATGACAAAAAAATGGAAGTAGTAGACGAGTGTCCTGGAGTTGAAGACAGAAATTCTTCTGGAAATTTGGTGAGTTTTTTTTTTTAATTCACAAATTATCTATATTATTAAGATAATATTCTGTTTCTGGATACAGAATTAAGAAATCACCTTGTATCTTGTAAACTATTGACATTTTTAAAGATATAAGCTCATCCTGATGTTATACTTGTCAAGACCTTTCATTTGAGTACCCACATCAATTTTTTTCATATATTTTATATACATTGATATTTATTATATATATGTATATATGAAAAATATATCAAAAGACATTTTATCATTCATCTTTGAATATTAATATTAAAAAATAATAATTAAAATTTTTAAATAAAATTTTAAATTTATTAAAAAGAATTTTGATTTTTTTTAATCATAAAAATTGAATTTTAACATTATTACAGATATAATTTGATATTTTTAAAGATATAAGCTCATTTAGACATTACACTCATCAAGACCTTTCATTTGAGTACCCACATCAATTTTTCATATATTTTATATATTTATATATATTATATATATGTATATATGAAAAATATATCAAAAATGCATATGGGTACTCAAATGAAAGCTCTTGATGAGTGTAACATCAGGATGAGTTTATATCTTTAAAAATGTCAATAGTTAAAAAAAATACAGTGCAATTTAATAATAAATAAAAAAAATTACCAGGTGACTTCTGACGGACCGTTCAAATGGGATTCAGAGAAGCAAGGATACTTACTTAGTTCATTTTTCTGGGGCTACGTCATCACCCAGATACCATTTGGAATTTTAGCCAAGCGGTACGGATCAAAATACTTCCTTGGAGTCGGAATGCTGATAAATTCAGTGTTTGCTTTTCTGGTACCAATTTCCGCCCACTGGGGATTCGGATGGCTCCTGGTGATCCGATTTATCCAAGGTCTCGGAGAGGTAAGTAACTTTATCTGACGAAAAAAGAAAAAAAACTAAACAAACGCGTTTAATTTGATGACTAATTTTCTTAAATTAATTATTTAAATTGAGTTTCTTGTAGTAGAAATTTGCTCAGTAGAAAATATCAAGTAACTAAATTAAAACGGTAAATTAGAATTTTTTTTTTTTTGTAAATTTCGAGAAAAAAATTAGCCCGTGTGTGAACGTTTTTTTTTATTGTTCGGGTATATTTCCTCCCCCTAGGAATGGATTATCCCTATTGCAGGGTCCAATTGTGCCTTGTACGCACGCAATGCTGGCAAAGTGGATTCCGCCGAATGAGAGGAGCCGGATGGGAGCTTTCGTTTACGCTGGTAAGCTCTTTAATAAAAAAAAAAAAAAAAAAAAAAAAAAAAAAAAAAATAAATCCAATGTACTGTCGAGTCACGATGAATCGCGAGTCAAAGTAATGCTACCTACCAATACTACTGCTACTGCTACTACCAGTACTAGCCACACCACTTCAATCTGTTCTGAGGAATTGGATTTAAATGCAATTCAGAGTTTCGATAAATTTTTTAAATAAATTCACAAATTAATTTCATCATTTTTGATTAATAATTTTTATTATTTTATTTCTTTTAATTTGAAAACACAGGAGCCCAATTTGGATCAATTGTTTCGATGCCATTGAGTGGCTTGTTGTCAGAATATGGATTTGCCGGTGGATGGCCCTCGATATTTTATGTTTTTGGTGCTGTTGGAACTGTATGGTGTATTGTATTTTTGATTTGGGTTTACGAGGATCCCGAACAGCATCCTAAAATTGCTGAAGATGAGAAGAAATATATATTGAGTGCACTTTGGGGAACTGCTGGATCTTCTGTAAGTTTTTTTTTATATTTAAAATTTTATTTTTTGCTCAAAATTTATTAAAGAAATTGTTTTTTTTAGTTTAAATTAATAAAAAATTTTTATTAATTTTTTTTAACAATTTTGAATAAATAAGAAATTTTGATTAATAAAAATTTAACATAAATTAATTATTTATTAATTTTTTCAGTCTCCTCCAGTACCATGGAAGTCAATATTAACATCCTTACCATTCTGGGCTATATTGATAGCTCATATAAGTCAAAACTATGGATATGAAACATTTATGACTCAACTTCCAACTTACATGAAACAAATCTTGCACTTTAATATAAAAACTGTAAGTTAATGATTTAAAATTGCAATTTAATTTATCTAATAATTAAAAAATGTTTAATTTTAGAATGGATTCGTTTCTGCGCTTCCGTACTTAGCGATGTGGCTGTTCTCAATGTTCATTTCGCAAGTAGCCGACTGGATGATCTCCTCAGGAAGATTTACTCACACGTTAACGCGTAAAATTATCAATGCAATCGGACAATACGGTCCAGCTATAGCATTTATAATCGCTTCTTACACCGGGTGCGACAGAACATTAACAGTCGCATTGTTCACTATTGGTATTGGATTGAACGGTGGTATTTACTCTGGATTCAAAGTTAACCATCTTGACATATCACCGAGGTTCGCTGGAATTCTCATGTCCTTTACTAATTGTCTTGCTAATCTTGCCGGGCTTCTTGCGCCGGTTATTGCTGGGTACATCAATGCTGGAATTGTGAGTTATTTTTTTTTTTTTTTTTTTTTTTTTTTTTTTTATTAATCTATATTATTTAAAGAATAAGAAAAAATTTTTTTTTAATACATAATTAAGAAATGACCTTGTATCTTAAGAACTATTGACATTTTTAAAGATATAAGCTCATCCTGATGTTATATTCATTGAGACCTTTCATTTGAGTACCCACATCACTTTTTCATATATTTTATATATATATATATATATGTAAAATATATCAAAAATGCATATGGGTACTCAAATGAAAGGTCTCGATGAGTGTAACATCGGGATGAGCTTATATTTTCAAAATATATATTGTATAATTAAGAAATGACCTTGTATCTTGTCAACTATTGACATTTTTTAAGATATAAGCTCGTCTTGATGTTACACTAATTGAGACCTTTCATTTGAATACCCACATGAATTTTTTATATATTTTTCATATATACATATATATGTATATATAAAATATATGAAAAATTGATGTGGGTACTCAAATGAAAGCCCTTGATGAGTATAACATCAAGATGAGCTTATAACTTAAAAAATATCAATATTTAAAAAAGTAATCCATTTAATAACAATTACATTATTACAGCCATCTCAAGCAAAGTGGCGGATAGTTTTTATAATATGTGGAGCGATTTATATAATCGGCGCAACATTCTACATAATATTCGGCTCTGGTCAAAGACAATCGTGGGATAATCCCGACAAGGACGAAGAAGTAGAGAAGAAAAGAAGAAAACCCAATGACGTGGAAGCTGCTAAAGTAATCAATGAAACTCAGCATTGACTAATTAATAAGTAATAGTAATAAGTTACAATAATAATAATAATAATAATAATAATAATAATAATAACGAGCGTTGTTAACGTACAATTTAGAGTTACTGAAATTCACTTTTAACTTTTATATAAAATCTTGAATATTTATATTTAATAAATTATAACGAAGCATTCATTCCCTCCATAAAAAATGATTGAACAGATTTTTTCAAATTTTGAAATTAAATCATAAGAATCCAGTCAGGTAGTGTGCCTTGTGTTGACCGTGTAAATGATAAATGTATGGAAGATTAGAGTTTTTTTTTTTTTTTTTTTTTACATATTAAATCCTAATTTTTTCTGTTCCGTTGTAAATATAATTTATAGAGATTCGAAATAACAATAATAATTTTTTTCAAATTAATAAATGAAGAAAAAAAAATAAAAATTGTAACAAGTGTATTTGCGTGTCGTGTGTGTGTTAGTCAATAAAATAATTTAAAGCAATTTATTTCAATAAAAGCTTGTTAACAATTTATTTATTAATTAGCGAAGAATTAAAAAAAAATTAATCAGCAAATAAATTGTCATTGAAATTTTATTTAAAATTTTCTATCGACATCAAGGCAGCAGTATTAGAGTAGAACGCCGCACGTTCGCCACTCTGTTATCTTATTTTTTATTATCATTGTTGTTATTAATTATAATTATTATTTTAATTGTAATCCTTATTGATTAATTGCCATTTTGTATTGTAGTTATTTTGAAATATTTTTTTTTTAAATTCATACTGAACATTACTAGTAATGTATTTACATTAATATATATTATATTATATATCAATATTTATTAATCATTTTCCGACAATACAATAATGGTTTATACAAAGTGTAGATATATATATATTCAAAAAAATAATTAAAATTTTTTTTCTTCTTGTTATACAATGTCAATTTAATATTTATTATTATGTAATTCTGAGAATTGCAAAATTTAGTGCATTTGTTTTTTTCAATCAAAAATTATTAAAGCTTTTGTAATTTTTTGAGATAAATTTTTCGAAATTTTTTGAAGATATTTTTTACAATTTAAAAATAAAAATATTTTTCGAGATATATATATATATATATATATATAATTGATTGAAGAAATATAAATTCATGAAAATGTTGTAATTGTTAAAAAATAAAAAAAATATTTTTAAATAAGAAATTTGTAATTTTTATTGTAATCTATATTATTAAGAGTATAATTTTGTAGCCAGTGTATTTATGACCTTTGTATCTCGTGAACTATTGACATTTTTAATCGACATCAATTTTTCATATATACATATATATATATATATAATATATATAAATATATGAAAAATATATGAAAAATTGATGTGGGTATTCAAATGAAAGCTCTCGATGAGTGTAATATCAGAATGAGCTTATATCTTTAAAATCGTCAATATTTAAAAAATTACAGAGCAATTTAACAAAAGTAATTATTTAATAAAGCAAAATTTTATTTATTTATAAATAAAGGTTGGTAGTTAAAAATAAGAAAATAATTTAAACTTTAATTACCAAGTCTCGTGAATATAAACGTCATATTCATATAAATGCAACTTTCACTTGCATTCTTTAATACCTCTTATTTGGACTCTCAACTCTTAAAATAATTCAACCTTATAAATTGAAACTCGCTCTGAAAAGTGATTTAGTTAAAAACTAGTGAGCTGCCTACGCAGAAGTTTAATTTAAAATAATTATTCAAGTGAAAAGTATTAACAAAGATTCCTACACGTTTACCGAAGGTGGGATTCACTGACCCACTGACATTCTCTTGAGTATCACCAAGCATACAATCACTCTTCACATGACTCTTCGCGATGATCTCGCGAATCAGACTGAAATATAAGTATTTGATTTAACATTTAATAAATATATATGCGTCGGGTGAAAAGTTTTGTTGTAATTATTTTTTTTCTATCAGTGTTTTTAATTTTTTACGCCAGTAGGCCGGTTGTGAAAAATGAATCAACTGAAGTTAATTATTACACGCAAGTATATATTTTTATTTTACATTTACAACACTTTTGATACTAGTAAATTTTAATAAATTTATTAGCTTCAAAGAATTGTCACCCCGTCACTGGCCGAGCTCGGATTCCGAGGCGTATCAAAGCCCAATGATGACATAATAATGTTAACAAGAATTCCAAATGCGGGTGCTGAAATTCTGGTTTATATTCTCCAACATTTGTCCGGATACAATGCCTTTAAGCATATTAGAATTCCAGCGAACAAACACCGAGTTCTTTCTTCTTTGCATCAGGTAAATTATATATTTAAAATAAATAAAATTTATTTGAATTATTAATATAATGATTATTGATTATTTATTAGGAGCTGATGGTTGAAGAAATTACAAGTATTATTAAACAAGAAGCTGTTCCATTGAGTTTTGATGGAGATATTAAATTTTTAAATTTTAAAAAATTTGATCGACAAGCTCCGACATTTATTTCACTTGTTAGAGATCCAAGGGATATTTTATTAAAGTATTTTAATTATATATTTCTCCATTACAATTTTTTTTTTTTGTTAAATAATTAATTTTTAAGACATTTTTTAGACATGAAAATAAATCAGAAGAAAATTACCAAAGTGGAATATCATATTTTTGCGGTCAAGATTCACGTTGTCTGTAAGTATTATTAACCAATAAAACTTTTCAAGTTACTACTATTATTATTAATTTTAAAATAAATATTTTCAGTGTTATAAATAAATGGGCATTAGAACAAGCAAAAAAAAATGTGCTGCTGTGGTACCCCGTCGTAGGAATATTAGAACTGATGGAAGAAACATTAAAAGTATTAACAAACCAATTTGGCTATTTCTTCAATGGCGCTATTGATATTTACATTAAAAAATTTCGTAAGTATATTTTATTATCATTTAAAAATTTCTAATAAATAATTTTAAATTTTAATTTTTTTTTTTTTTTTTTTATATAGGTTTCAGAAATACGGTTAAAAAAAAAAGAAAAATAAATGACAAAGTTAAAATAGAAGTTGAATTTTATTTATGGCTAAAGTCACGATTACTCAGCCAGACTTATAAATATTTGTAAAATATTTATTTAAAATAAATTTTAAGAAATACAAGAACAAAGCAAAGTTTTTGAGTCAAGTCCATACGTTACATTAATTGCAACACCGACTTGTGATTCTTCCTGCATTAAAAACAAATAAATTAAAGGTTTAAAAAATTAATTTTAAATTAATATAATTTATACGCACATCAAGTTCATATAAACTTCGAGACCGGACATCAGATTCAATTTCCAAACGAAAGCGGTCATCTTTTGGGTCTCTTATTTCTGTTGACAAAGATGGTTTGTTTTTTTTGAACCAGGAGCAATCTTTTTCACTAAAATAAAATTAATTAATTTTATAAAAAAAAGGAAAAAAGGAAAAAAAAAAAATTGCTTTAATTACTTGAAATATTCAGAAAGTTTTTCAATAGAACAATGAGACCATACTAAAGGTACTGGGTGTACCCATTTTGAATTATAGTGCATGATTCCAGGGCATGAATCATTTCTTTCATCAATTCCACCAAAGCTATTAATATAAAACATATTATTTAATTTAATTAATTTCTGTCATTATAATTTGACTCACGATTTAATTAAATAGTTTAAGTGAAGAATATGATAAGTTTGTAAATCTCCTTGAACTATAGCAGCTACTCTGAGAGCTGATAGATTGTTACAAATGTCACCGTCAGGCTCTCTAACTATAATTATATTACAATTTTAGGAAAAAAATTTTAATAATAAAAATAGTTTGAAGAGACTTACATCCTACATGCGATTTTCCGTAACAAGTTCTGAAAATTTTTTAATAAATAAGCTTTATCACTATTTTGTCAACTATTGACATTTTTAAAGATATAAGTAACATCAGTATGAGCTTATATCTTTAAAAACGTAAATATTTAAGAAAGTTAATGGCACTCACTGAGATAAAAAGTATACTTTATCATGATTATCCAATTGAAAATAACTTTTTTTCTCTTTTACAAATGCCATTAAAGCTTTGTCAACATTAGACCAATTTGTTAATTGTAAATCAAGGTGTTTGTCGCCTTCATAGAAAATCTGCTTGCCGATCTATAAAAAAATATATTTTTTAGATGTCTGATGAATTATAAATTATTAATAAAAAAACAATAAAAAAAATAATAATAATCATTACATCTGGAAGAAGAATTCCTTTTAAAGTCAGTCGTATTTTTGGGGACGTAAAATTTCCAAAAAACATGTCCAGGTGATTGTAAAACATCAAAATTGCCCGTATTAATTCTATTTTTGGCTTGCTGAAGAATAAAAATATCTTAAAAAATTACTTAACCAGTATATAATTATTTTTAAAGTATATTTACTCTTGGATTGAATTTGGATGAAGAATAATAAATAGTTTACAATTAACTACTGTTAATTTTGTAGAATTCAAGTTAAATATTTGTGTTGTATTACTAAAAGAAATTTTTTTTGTATTTTTACTCATCTGTAAATCTGTAAAAATAATTTTTAACAATTTTTATTAATTAAAAATAAAAAATAAAAAAAATTTAATTACCTGGAAAATATAATTTAGCGTAAATATATTTATTTTGGTGAGGATGATCTTCCGATGGAAGATGTCGAAGTATATTATGTCCAATATTACCTTCCTATAAATTTTATTATTTTATTTTAATAAATTTTAAAATTAATAATAAAAATTTTACCAATTGTACTCCAGTTTTATGAAAAAAAACGCACATTGAAGCTACTTTTTGATAATTGTGGTAAAATCTAAAGTCACCCATTTCTGGAACGTACTAATTAATTACTGGTAAAGAATTATAATATTATTAACAATAATTAATTTATAATTAAATTAAAAAAATACTTCTCTGATAGTAGTTTTTATAAATCGGTAGTCTTCATTGACTACCACACCCAACATTTTTTTAAGCGACTGCAAGTTCATCAGATGAACAGGAGTTTCACTATCTGCTAGCAAACCATCAGTTTTTATTAAGTATAATGATTCTAATAATATTGAATCATTGGATAATATTGATAAATGAAAGCTTCTGTTGTTAAACCCGTCGAGTTTTATTATAACTATTTTGCACTCTTCAACTGTATTAAAAACAATTAAAAATTTTAATAAAAATTAAAAATTAAACGTTAATTATATTAAAGTTATAATTTACTTGTAGAATTAGATGATAATTTAAATGTTGACCGAGTTAATTCTTGACAATATTTATCTCCTTTGATAATTAATATTAAAAAACACACACTCAAAAATAAATATAATTTTTTCATAATTAATTTTTCAGTCATGAAATTTTATTAAAAATAATTTTTAAATAACATCTGTATTGTGCAGTACAACTTTGTAAATTAAAATATAGAGTTTGATTATAATAAACCGCATGTCATTCACGGTCTAATAAAATTATCACCAATATTATAGGTGACGATAACACACCAACGATATGTAACACCTAATAAGAGAGGATAGATATATTTTAAAGAAAAAAATTAATTAATATCGAGATAAATTAAATAGTTTTAAATTTGCAAAAATTTATTATAAATTTACAATAAAATTTTTAAGAAATACAAGAACAGACCAAAGTTTTTGAGTCATACGTGATATTAATAGTCAGACCGACATTAATATTTTTCTGTAATTAAATAAACAATTAATTCGATTAATTAATTCGATTTAAAAAAAAAAAAAAAAAACCATACATTTTTTTGGTAAGCTCGCCGTGTTTGTACACCAAGCTCAATTGCTATCCTCAGCCGCTCATCTTTAGAATCTCGTATAGCAGTTGTTAAAAGTGGCCTTTGTTTATTGAAGTAAGAGCATTCATTTTCACTGGTATCATTTTAAATTTAAAAATTATAAACCAATTATTATATTAATTAAAAATTAAAGAGTAATATAATTATAATACTTGAAATAAGTTGAAAAGCCACTGATAGTACAAGAAGACCAAACAAACAATGGTGGGTTCATTTGTCTGTTTCTGTGGTATAAAATTCCGGGGAGAGACTCGCAGGGCTGAACAAACTGACCGCCAAACCTAAAAAAAGTGGTCAAGTTGATCTTTGGGGTTGATTTTATTACCCCCCAAGTATAGTTACATTTTAGCTAAATATTGCAAGTGGATGATGTGATAAGTCAGAAGATCTCCGTGAATTACAGCAGCTATCCTTGGCATTGGTGGATCATTACAAATCTCTCCATCGGGTTCTCTGACTAAAATATCATTCAAAATTAATTCCTTTTATTAACAATTAAAATTGTTTTAATAAACTTACATCCTACGTGCGCTTTACCGTAGCTTGTTCTGAAAATATTATTAAAAATAATTTATTCTGGAATTGTTTTTTTTTTTTTTATATATATATATATATATATTTAATTAATGCTACTTACTGAGACAAAAAGTATACTTTGTCGTGAGTATCTAATTGAAAATAATCTTTCTTCTCTTTGACAAATTTCATCAAAGCTTTGTCAATTTCAGACCAATTTAATAATTGTAAATCTAGTCTGTTGCCTTCGTAAGGAATTTTTTGACCAATCTAAAAGAATATATTTTTTAAATTAATGATAAATTATTGACAAAAAAATAATTACATCTGGAAAGAGAATTCCTTTGAGAGTAAGTCGTATTTTTGGAGACGTAAAATTTCCAAAAAACATATCCAGGTGATTGTAAAACATCAAAATCGTCCTCATTAATTCTATTCGAGGTTTGCTGGAGATTAAAAATATCTTTATCGGAACACTCGTAATTCTAATTATTAATTTAAACAATATATAATTTTAATTAGAAAATATAGTTACTCGATTATTGAATTTGGATGAAGTATAACGAATAATTTACAATTAACTACTTCCAAATCTGGAGCGTACAAATTATAAGACAGTGTTGAAGTATCAACAAAAGTATCTTCAGGTTTCAATTTCTGGAATGCTGCAAAAATTATTTTTATAATTCTTATTAATAATTGTTATTATTTTTGAGATTTTATATTACCAGACAACATTATTTTGGCGTATACATATTGATTTTGCTCAGTATGGCCTTCTGATGGTAGATATCGAAGTACATAGTGGCCAATATTACCCTCCTATAAATTTATTAAAGAATACTAAAATAAATATTTTGAAAAAAATTCATACTTGTAATTTTTTTTTTTTTAATTGCATAATTAAGAAATGATGACCTTGTATCTTGTCAACTATTGAAATTTTTTAAGATATAATCTCATCTTGATGTTACAATCATCGAGACCTTTCATTTGAGTACCCATAACAATTTTTTATATGAAAAATATATATCAAAAATGAAAGCTCTTGATAAAAGTAACATCATCAGAATGAACTTATATCTTTAAAAAAAAGTCAACATTGAAGAAAATACAGTTGCAATTTAACTAAAATTACTATTTAATGAATTAAAATTTTATTTATTTATAGCTTAATAGTAAATATTTACCAATTGTATAGTAGTCTTTTTAAAAAATACAACCAATGATGCTGTTCGGTTATAATTATGATAAAATCTAAAATCACCCATATCTGGAACATACTAAAATACAAAAATTTTATGTAAAATTAATTCAATAATTATAATAAAAAAAAAAAAAATTAATATAAAATTTAATACCTCTTCAAAAGAAGTTTTAATAAACTTGTAATCTTTATAAATCTTAGCACCGCACATTTTTTTAAGCGAGTCACGATCCGTAAGATAAACAGGAGTCTCGCTTCTTGCTAACAATCCGTCAGTTTTATGAAAGTACAAAGATTCAATTACTGTTTCATTGGATAATATTGAAAGTCGAAATGCTCTTCTGCTGTCCTCATCGAGTTTTATCGTCACTATTTCGCACTCGTTAACTGTATCAAAAACAAACAATAAAATAAAAAAATGAAGGGTTTAAATAAAGAATTTAAGGATCAAACCTCAATTATAAAAATAAAAGTTACTCGTAGAATAGGATGATAATTTAAATGTTGACCGAGTTAATTCTTCACAAATTTTGTCTCCTTTAATTAAATTTAACATTAAATAAAAAACACTAAAAGTCAAGTATAAGCTCATAATTGATTCCACTGCAAACTTCTGTAATTTTAATATTTTTAAATAATTTTATTTATAAAATAAATATTTATTAAAATTACTTACTTAAAGTGTCATTTATCTATTAATTAAATTTTTATGTTCTGAGCAAGTACATGGTTGTATTTATAGTCTCCAACATCATTCTTAAAATTATATCATTAAAAAATTAAATATATTTAGAAGAAGAAAATAATTTAAAGTGTAACTTATACCTGAGTAAGTTGTTGAATGGCTCAATTCAACTTTACAATTTATCTGGTTAGTCACAGCCATGCTTTATTATTATTCAGCGATAAGCTAAGATTTGACACTAGAGTTGTACCTGTATATTTTTTTTTTTTTTAATAAAAATAAAGATTTTTTTTTTTTTTTTTAAAATTTGTATTATCAAGAGAATAACAAAAATAAGTATATGGTCAATTAATTTATATTGATTAAGAAATGACAAAATATTAACATTTTTAAAGATATAATTTACTCATTTTGATGTTATACTCATCAAGATATTTCATATATTTATATATATTATATATTCATAAATATATTAAAAATTGATGTGGCTACTCAAATAAAAGCTCCTGATAAGTTTAACAAAAAAAAAAAAAAAATGACCTTATATCTATAAAAATATCAAGAGTTAAAAAAGTACAGTGCAATTTAAAAATTTATTATTTAATAAAGCAAAATTTTATTTGTTACTTAACAATGATAAAATAATTAATAAAATTTATTTTTAAATTCAAAACATTTTTTATTTAATAGAAGTAACTCATTGTACAGTTGTTGAACTTGAAATAAAATTTTTAACGGCATTTTTTATTTATTCTAAGACTATTTTAGTAGTTTTAAAGAAAATTCTCTTTTTAATAATTAAATTGTCAAAATATGTAACTTAAAATTGAAAACAGTAATACTTAATTCAGAACTTGAACATCACATCTAAAAGCTTGGTAATACTTAATCAAATCCTTTAAATAAAAAAAAACTAAACATTTTGTTATTTTTACTTGAAAAAAATAATATTTAATTAATAAATTTCTTCCTTGACTCTTCTCCGTGTTCTTCTCCCAAAATCCTCTTGAATATCAGCCCGATCATAAGCCTCCATTTTAACCTTGATAGACTCAACAGCTGCCGAAATTTCTTCAAACTCTTGTTTTGGATCAGGAAATCTCGCAGGAACAAATCTAAAATTATCATTAACCGGCCTGCTGACGTTCTTAGTCCTCGGCCTGTTAATTTCTCCCCCAGGAAAAATTCTGATCAAGTTCTCATTATTACAACTAGTTTCTTCTTTAGAAAAAACAGTATTTTTCCAATCTTCAGTCATCAGCTGCATCTCCAACTTGCTCTTCCTCCCTCGCTTTTTCTTCTCCCCTTCCAATTGTTCCTTTTCCTCCATAGAATTATAATTTTCATCTCTCTGAGATTTAAAAGTCCTTTTTTTATACTTCCTCGGTCCAGCAGGAGGTTTCCTTCTCCGTTGAGTCTCTTCATCGCAGTGTTTAACAATATCCTTATGAATTTCCTCAGAAGTCCCAAATAAATTATTGCAAATTTTGCAGAAATAAGGCTTACTAGTCCCCGCGTACTTAGGATCGATATTAGTATGATGAGATTTAACATGATCCCTCAAAACGACTCTTTGATTAAAAGCTCGCATGCAAATCAAACAAACATAAGGTTTCTCACCAGTGTGGATCCTCTCGTGCTTCCTCAAGGTCCCGCCATCGGCAAAAGCTCTGTCGCAAAAGTTGCACCCATACGGCCGCTCTCCGGAGTGAACTCTCGCGTGGATCTGCTGGGAACTTCTGCTTGCAAATATTTTTCCGCATTCTTTACACTCAAATATCTTCTCGCCATTACTAGTCTTCTTGTGCAATGAATAATGATTTATTAAATCATGTTGGTTTGTAAATTTTAAACTGCAAATATTACAACTCATTTTTTTCCGGTGCGACAACAAATGTCTAGTCAGCCGTGTTTTGTTTTTAAAATCTTTATTACACTTTTCACAATTATATTCACTTAATTCGCTTAATTCATTGTCACTTTTTTCATCTGAAGAAATATTTAAGACACAAATATGATCATCAAATTTACTTTTTTCAAAGCTGTTATTACACTCTGGACAATTTTTAATTATTTTAGATTTTCTTAAATTGCAGGATTTTTTATCGGGATTATTATTTAATTCTTCTAACTCAGAAAAACTAGCGTGTATTTTTAAATGATTTAACAAGTCACTTTTTAAGGGAAAACTGGCACCGCAAAAATTGCAAAATTGCAATTGGTTATTTTTGTGAACTGACATGTGGCTTTCAAGATTCATTTTAACACTGAATCTTCTGTCGCAAACTTCACACGAGTAAAAATTTTCTTGTAAATTATTATTAACGACTTCTTCTGTGCTTTGAACGTCCTGGTCTAGTGTGTAGATCTCATGTGGCAAGATGTACGATGAAGATAAAGATGTTTGGACAGTCTCTTCGTATACTTGCTCGCAAGCGCCGATCAGCCCGCCTTGATAATCAAAATTTGTCTCCATGCCGTAGATCATCAATTTTTCACTAACAATACTTTCTAATTGGTCCAATAATTGTCCCGGTGCACCACAAAACTCCATTTTTGAATAATCATCAGCTGTTCTGTAAAAAAAAATTTATAAAAAATTGCTATAAAAACTTGTAGTTTTTCAACTTTTTTACATGTAAAATTTTTTTAATGTCGGCTAACTTAATTTTCATATTTTTGTTATAATAATAAAAATAAATATTTTTTAAAAATTGCACTTATAGTTTTTAAAGTTTTAAACAAATGAAATAATTTTTTTATAAAAATTTCTAGATGTCGGCTAACTTTTTTATATTTTTGTTAGCCGGTAGAAATTTTTATTAAATATAAATTATTGTTTATTTATTAACTTACTTTATTTAATCTTGAAGCTGATGTAAAATATCTATCAAAAAATTTCTCACGTGTTAAGTGTATATATATATATATATATATAAAAATCAGCCGGAATTTTTGTATATAATTTTTTAGTTGAATCTACTCTACCACACACCACACGTGTGTACTCTCGACGCACGCTGCGACAGGAATAAACAGAAACACGTCTGAGTGCGTCTGAGTTTGAGTGTATATAGAGTTGTGTACTGTACTGTACAACTGCCATTGTGATATAGTGTAAAGTGTATGTGACATACGTTATATAGCTGTGTGAAATTATTCTACCCCCACTTTCTTCAGCATATATTGCACTCATTGGATGCATCCTGTTGTAACACTATGTACGCCGCTGACATTAATACTGGCCTTTATTTTTTCACAACAAAAGAGTATTTTATAAAAATTATAAATTATTAATTTTAAAAAATTTATTGTCAAGTAATTAAATTTAATGTCATCTATAGTTTGTGTTAATAAAAATTTTATTAATAAATTTTAAGTTAGCTGTCAGCTGTTAATTTAATTAAAAAATTTTTTTTAACAAATTAATTACAATAAAAAAAAGCTTCTAAAAATTTTTATTAATTTTTACAAGTGAAATTTTTTTTTTTATCATAATTTAATTGTTATAAAATTGTAAAAAAGTTTTAAAAATAAAATATCGTTCTGCCGCCTCCAGTAAAAAATTTGAAAAATTTAAACGTGATTTGGCGCCAGACACGCAAATTCCAGTTTTTCGGACTTGCGCGCACACAGCTGATTTGGAGCGCTCTCGTAAGTAAGTAAGTAAGTATTATTATTAGGTCCAGTCTCCACATTCTCCAGTCGCTGAGTCGGTATGACATATTTTTAGTGATTTAGTCTCAGAGTGTTGTAAAGAGTATATTCGAGTATTGATTAATTTTAAAACATTATTTGACATTAATAATTTAATTTTTATCATTATATTCTTCGTTATGTTTACTATTTAAAATAGTATCAAACAAATAGTGAACTTTAATAAATAATCTGAAAAATATTAACGTTTAATAAAATTAATTGTAAAAAATGTCGAACGAAGAATTGCCAAAAGGATGGGAAAAGCGATTGAGCAGATCTACCGGTATGTTTTATAAATATTTTAAAAAATATTAAATAAACTTTTTAATAAATATTTAATGGATAATTGTAACATTGTATCAGGTCAGCATTATTATTTAAATGTTTATACAAAAGAAAGTCAATGGGACGTTCCAATTAAACCAGCACAGCCTTGCGACAATGGTGATGAACCCGAAGAGGTTCAGTGCTCTCATATTCTTGTAAAACATGCTAATTCAAGGCGGCCGTCTTCCTGGAGAGAAACAAATATTACAAGATCCAAGGAGGAAGCTATTGATTTAATTAAATGTAAGTTTATTTTAAAAAATATTCATTTATTTTTAACTGTTCATTTTTAACCTCAAATATTATTGGAGTGATTATTAAAAAATTACCTTGTTTCTTAAGAACGGATGACATTTTTAAAGATGACATTTTAAGCTCATCTTGATGTTACACTCATCACAAGAGCTTTCATTTGAGTATCCACGTTCATGTAACATCAATATGAGCTTATTATATCTTTAAAAATGTCAATAGTTAAGAAATTACAGTGCAATTTAACAAGAGCAATTATTTAATAAAAGCAAAAATTTTATTTATTTATTGTTGCTAATTGTAATAATTGAATTTAATATTTAACAGCATACAGAGAACAAATAGTATCCGGAAAAGCAACATTTAGTGAATTAGCATCAAAATACAGTGACTGCAGTTCTGCAAAACGTGGTGGCGATTTGGGTCCATTTGGACGTGGAGCTATGCAGAAACCATTTGAACAAGCGGCTTTTGCATTAAAAGTCGGTGAATTATCTACTCCAGTTGATACAGATAGTGGTATACATTTAATTGAAAGAATCGCTTAAAGTTCAATAATTAACATTTTTTTTATTATTATTATTATTATTAATAATATTTAAAGAGAAGTTTTGAAAAAAATTCATAACAATAGATAATCAATTTTTTTGATTTGAGCATTTAATTTATTATAAGGACAAGGCTAAAGTAAAATCAAACTAATTTTATTTTTATTTTTATTTTTATTTTTATTATTTTTTTCATTGTAATCAGTAAAATAATGAATGATCTAATTTAATCTAAAATATAAATTACAATAATTAATTTTTATTAATTTTTAATAAATGATTAATAGTAATAATAGTAACAACGGTATTTTTAATTATTTCTAAATAGTTATTAAAATTAATTATTTTAATATATTTCCGGAGCTGAGCCATATATTAATTGTAATGTTGATATACGTATATTTGAAGATAATTCGCTTGTTGATTTAGATAATTTAGTTCCAGGGGATAACGACGCACAACCCATTAATCGTTGTACTGTAAAGTAATAATTGACATTTTTAAAAATATAATAAGCTCATCTTGATGTTATACTCATCGATACCTTTCACTTGAGTACCCCTCATCAATTTTTTTTTATATATATATATGTATATATGACAAATATATCAATAATGCATGTGGGTACTCAAATGAAAGCTCTTGATGAGTATAACATCAATATGAGCTTATAGAAAAAGATATTTTTTTAATTATGTCAAAATTTTTGTTTAACTACAAGTTAAAAATTGATAAATTTTACCTGAAAGTTTTTCATTATTCCTCTGAAGAATTTAAATATTTAATAATTAATTATAAATTAAATAATTTCAGGAATTTTTATTTAAAAAGAAATACAACCTTATAGAATTTCCAGAATTTCCTATTGTCGGAGGTGGTTGTCTCAGGGCTTTGTGCCAAATATCGGAAAGCTGTTGTTCCGGTGCTATCGCGTAGTCGCCTTGGGATTTTATTCGATCCTCTCGTTCTGATTTCATTTCTAAGAAGACTTGAGCTGGACGACTGTAAAATAATTTATTAAAAATATCTCTTTTTTTTTTTTTTTTTTTTTTAAATTATCAATAAAGTACCTCGATGTAGGGTGAAGGTCATTTTCCAGCTGTATCAGCGGTGAGTCCCAACCAGCTTCGTCTTCTTCGAATTCCGAACCACTTTCGATGTGAATATCAAAATAATAAATAATTAAATATTAATATAGACTTTTTATATTAAATTTCTGGTAATATTATTAAAATTAAATTTAAATATTTACCTGCTCATTTCATCTTTTAAATTTTTATAATATTTAACAGTATCATCATCGTCATTTTCTAGTTGACTATCATCACGATACTCCATTATCTTTTCAACTATTTTAAATCCATCAGGCCGCTCATAATCTTCAGGTAGCTGTTCTATTTCAGCTAATCTTAATCCCGGTTTATTGCGCCGTAAATATTTATGAATTTGTTGATTCTTCATATGAATCTAAAAAATAAAATTTATTAAAAAATTATACTAATAATAAATCAATTACTTTGTTTACATTTTGTGAAAATTGAATAAGCTCAGCCTGTCTTAATTTAGGATGAATAGGATCAATAATTGATTTTCTCTGATTATAAACTTCACGCTTGTACCATCTATGAACAATTAAAATAGCATCTTCTTTACTGACGCCTTCATTAATTAATGCTTCTCGTGCTTCCGATTTTTTATCATATTTATTCAATATTTCTTTAAATTTCTGTTCAAGCTCCGACCCGAATTTTTTTCTGATGGTGTATCCCCGGAAGTCTAAATTAAAAAATAAATATTATTTTTTTATACAGTAAAAATATTAAAAAAAAAAAAACTTACTACTTTGGATAATAACAGCAGCATTATCTTGATTCATTTTTGGCAAATCTGTATCAATATTTTCATCGCTATCTTTTAAAGGTTGAATAGTCCGCTTAGCTAAATTTTCCGCTTGATGAATAGGCGTACTAACACGACTATCTTGATCTTGACTCTCATTTGATATAACAGCTTCAGTTAACCGTTTCCTCAGTAACCACCCTCTTATATGCCGTTGCAATGTAACAACTGAGCACGCCAATTGCCATTTTTCTTTTCTATAATGAATTTTAGCCAACCACCTTCTTACCCAAGCTTGTACCATAACTATTTTTCTCAATTGCTCTTCATACATTTTAGACAAAAATTCAACATGATAGTACTTTAAAAATACTTTTGTCTTACCTAAAGCCCAACCGTCTATTTTTAGACGTATTAATAACAATCTACAATTATCACGATTAGCTAAAACTGTTTCATCCCATCCAAATGCCAAAAAGCAATAGCGTTTTAAAAAATCAGCAAATGATATTCGATGGGAAAATCCATTTTGTCTTATTCGGATTGTTTCAAGAACACCAGTGTAACGTAATTGTTTGATTACTTTTTCATTGTCAAACAATTGGGGGCTTGATAGGTCATTTGGTTTGATGCAACGCACAAATTGCGGAGTACCACTTACCATTTTTTGCAATAGATCCATCAATGAGTACCTAAAATAAATTGAAACTGTTTGTTGAACTCGCGATTGCGATGCTAATACACTAATTCGATTTGGATATTTATCACGTGTGGTTAAATAATTTCTATCATCTTTATTATTAAAAATACGCTTCGTCATGGTTGTAGTTGAATACAAATTTCCTGTTTTGGTAATAGGACACTGAAATAAGAACCTTATCATATCAAATTGCGATTGTCGGATAAGTTGAACAACTTCAGGGGATAAAAAGTTGCGATTTTTATCCAGAAATCCTTCAGCTTGGTACACAACTCGTCCAGAAAAATGATTAACTGCAAAACAAAGTGCGTCTGATTTTGGACGGATGTAAAATTGTGATTTAATATTATTGTGAAACTTTTCAATTAGGGATTTATCATTAGCTCCTGGAAATCGCGTTTCTTCATCTAGCAACGCCAATAATCCAATTGGTCTGCTCAATAACATATCCAGCACCGGACGATTATCATAGAATTCAATTACATCAATTGGAATTCCCTCAGCAATATACTCTTGTTGCTCCCAAGTAAAAATATGCTGGTTAAAGTAATACTGTATCTGCTCATTAGCAATATTTATACACAATTGTTCAAACGAATTTTTGGAAAAGTTTTCAAATCCAAAAATATCCAACAGGCTAATTGTCAATGGTTCATAATTTTTATTTAAACTACGGTTGAAACTAATGCAATCATTTATTTGATTAACAATCCAATCGAATAGCCGTCCGTATAATCCTTTAGCCATCCCATCACGAATTGTTTGTGCTTCGTTGATTGTATTGTTACGGACTATTGTTTCTCCATGTGTTACAACAGATATTGATGTAAAAGTTTCTAACAAATCTTGAGATTCAACTCCTAACAAATCTGCAACGTTGTTTAATGGTTCAATATCAGCAACAGTGCATTTGTTATTATTGTCGTCATTGTCATCATTATTGTCTTCAGAGTCTTGTTCTTTGAATTCAATATTTCCTAAATTTAAAATTACAGCAAGGACTCTGTAAACTGTATTCACTTGATCTTCATGAAAGCCAATTACTTTGAAGCTTTTATTAATTTGGTTGAACTTATCAACAAAAATTAATTGAGCATTTTCTACATTTTCATTACAAGTTAAATATTTATACAAATTTTGTGAAGATAAATGATATTCACTTAATTTTTCTTGAGCATTTAATCCCTGGATAATATAATAAAAAATATGAAAATTACTTTCACCATTTGACTGGAAAATAACCCTAGATTGTTCAAGTAAATAAACAGCAATTCGTGCACCAGTAACTTTACCGCCTTTAGTAATTGTTAATTCTAAATATTTACCAAATCTAGATGAATTTTTATTAATACCAGTTGCTGCATTGCCAAAAGCCTCCATAATTGGATTAACTTCAAGTATCTGCTCTTCAATATTACGATTGGGAGCTTTGCTTAAATAAACCAATTGTTTGAGCAATAGATTAGCACTTTCTGTTTTACCAGCTCCAGATTCTCCGCTTATTATTATTGATTGGTTAATTCGCTGGTGGAGCAAAGCTTGGTAAGCTGCATCAGCAACTGCGAATATATGAGGCAAATTATCTGACCTAGCTTGTCCACGATAACGACGTTGTTCTATTCCTGTGTACAGTCCGAGATTAATATAAGGATTTACAGCGACTAATATATCCCCAATATAAGTATAAATTTGACCCTGTTTAAATCTTTCCTCCAATTGTTCGACAATTATCTCTTCAGTAAATGAATCCAGTGCCGCTAAATCATCAAAGTAGATTTTTTTCGGTGGCGCTTTGCGATTTACTTTTAATTTTCCGTGCTTTGTTGTTGATTCAATTCGACGGTTTATTATTAATGATGATGATGATGATGATTTTTGTAATTTTATCTCTTCAACTAGTTCTAATTTTATTTGCGGAATCATAAAATCAATATCATTTAATAAAGGATGTTGCTTTAACTCTGTTGCGTACGGACGGTGTTCAAGGTCTTTAACTAAGCATTCAGCTATAAAATCAGACAATTCTGGGGAATAAATGTCTGGATTTTTTAAACTTGGAGGTGGGTTACGTGGAATTTGAAATAAAGCACGCATTGGATGCAATTCTGATAAAGGTGGTTCACCCTCTGCTAATTCAATTGCTGTTATACCAACTGACCATATATCACAACGGCAGTCGTATGTTAAATCCAATTGTTGTTCACAAGCAATGACCTAGGACAATATAAGTAAAATATTTTTATCTCTAAATACTTAATTAAATTAATAAATGACCTTTGTATCTTGTGAAATATTGACATTTTTAAAGATATAAGCTCATTTTGATGTTATACTCGCCAAGACCTTTCATTTGAGTATCCACATCAATTTTTTTCATATATTTTATATATATATATATATGTATATATGAAAAATTGATGTGGGTACTCAAATGAAAGCTTATATCATTAAAAATGTCAATATTTAAGAAAGCTAATTATTTATAAAATAACAAACCTCTGGTGCCATCCAGTATGGTGTACCAACAGAAGTATTTTTTCTAGAAATATCTGTATTAAGGTGTGTTGACACACCAAAATCAATTAATTTAATATTACCATCTTCAGTCAACAATATATTGTGACCTTTAACATCTCGATGCATACAATTATTATTATGCATATATATAAGTGCTTCTACAGTTTCTTTTATTATATATGCTATTTGGTTATCAGTTAAACGGCTTCCGCGTTTTTTAAGTCCCTGTACAAGATTCGTCACTGATCCTCCAGTACAAAGCTTCAAAAAAAATAAAACAATGATAAATAATAATAATTACAATTACTTCAAGTCATTACCTCTATAACAAACCACAATTGATCTTGATTGTCTGAAGAGTCACTTTTTTTAAAATACAAACCATAAAATAATGGAAGATTTGGATGAAAACCCAAATCACGTAAAATTAAATATTCTTCTTCTATCTCTTCAATATTATCAGCGATATTTTCTAAAATTTTAACAGCAACTTGCGTGTCTGTTTCTTTATCAAAAGCTGCATAAACTTCTCCGTAAGTTCCTTCACCAATTAAATCTTGCAATTCAAAACGTTCACTCGGATCGGGTAATGAATTAAAATCAATATGTTGACTTAATCCACCGTAAATTGTACTATTAGATGGATTCCCCATTTCTATTAATACAAATTAATATTATTATTTTTTTTTTTTTTTTTTTTTTTTTTTTTTTTTTAGGATAATTATTTAAAAAAAATTAAATACTAACCGATAATATTATCCATTGTTAAGATATTAACACAAATAGTTGTGAGGTGTAACTGAATCAACTTGCTTCTAATAAGATACCTAATAAACGCTTTAATTAAATTATACCTTATATATAACATGATAAAAATGCTAGGTTTCTTAATAACATATATATTTTATTTTTAAATCCAGAATATAATTTTACAAATATATATATATAATATTTAAGTGAGCAAATTTTTATTGTAATTATTCAATTAATAAATCACTTGAGGGTTTTTCAATAAGATCACCAAAGCGCATTCGGTATTTTTTGCTAACTAGCCGCCAATCAACAACGTCGTTGATACTCGGCATTTTTTTAACCGATTGTCGACTTCCAATTGGACTCATATGACCAGATAATGAGAGTGATTTCTTTTTTCTTCTCTGCTTCAAGCACAAAAAATTCTAAACAGAAATAATAAATCAAAATTTTATTAGATTAATTTTTCTTTTTTAACTTACACAACATGTTTTTTTATCATCATGCATTGGACGGGATTTTTTGATGTATTGTTTTATGTACAGTCTAACAAAGTATTCAATCCAAGTTGAAAATAAATTAAATGGCGATGGAGCCGTTCGAGTTCTGGAATTAAATTTTAAAAATTAATTTTATATAAAAAAAAAAAAAAAAAACGATGATACTGGGATATCATCCCAGATATCCCGCAGTATAATCCAGATTATATTGAGTATAATTTGAGATAATATCCAGTATAATCTTGTTTTTTTTTTTCTATAAAAGGATTTATTTAATTTTAAATTAATAATTTTATATATCTATGTTAAATAATAATAATAATAAAGCTGTGAGGTAATATAAAAGAAGCTCTTTAAAAACATATAATATAAAGTAATCGATGTTAAATAGTTACCTATGCATGTTTCGAATAAGCTTACTCAAACCGTACTTCCATTCAATGTCACTTTGCGACTGGATATTCTGATATGTGTCACTCATCATTGCAATAAGTAAATTAATAAGTATTATTACGCTCACAAGCATGTACAGTGAAAATGATACCTGTAAATTGATAATTTTTAGTGATTAATAATGAGAAGAAAAAAAAAAAATAAAATTACCTTAAAGAGAAATATTGTCCAAGGTGGTTGTCGATTCCCGGCAAATATAAAATCATCGGTATCCTTTTGTCCAAAAATAGCAAAAAATAGATTTTCAGTTACCTCTATTGGATCGGCAAGTACTGTAAAACAGACAAATAATTATATTATAAAATAATATTGACAAAAAAAAAAAAAAAACATTTTTATCAATATTTACAATTAAATATTAACTACAACTATTAACAAACAAAACAACATTCCAGACATAATACTAAAACCATTATTTCGGGCAAGGGATTAAAAAATGGGATGCATGCTCCTTTTTTGTTTGTTTGTTTGTTTGTTAAACTTTTTCTTGCAAGCATGGGTATTTTTCTTAATACCTCCATACTAATTATTAAATATATAGTATTTTTATAAATTGTATAAATACAAAAAAACATTGTGCTCGCTAATAATACACGCTAATTACTAAAAAATACTACACTCAATACAACAAAATTTATATATAATATATAATATATAATACATTATACATATATGTATATGGTGGGACTAACCGCATATTACCATCTCTTGTAAGATGACATCATGGAGGAGATTAATTGACTGGTTAATTCCTCTGTATCTGTGAATTTTTTCGATAAACTTTATCTCTATATTATTAATCTAGGTATTTTTATTAAAAAATAAACAAACAAATATATTTAACACACAATTTTATTACATTTTAATAAATATTGTCTAGGTAATTTTTTAGCAAATGTATTGTTAATTATTAATTTATCTTATGACTAACTTGAGATATCATTGAAGGTTTAATTAAAATTAATTAAAAAAAAAAAAAATAAATAAAATTGAATTAAAGTAATTCAGTTGATGAAACTATTGTTTCTTCATTATTAACAACAGGTTCAGTAGCAGGAACAACAGAAGGCTCTTCTTTTATTTCTTCAATAGGCTTATCAGCTTCGTTGCCAAAAAGTTCTAAATATTTTCTTCTGACAACTTCCCAATCTACAACAGTGTCTATTCTCAAGGCATTGCTGAATGACAATTGGCTTCCAAGGGGACTTAAGTGTCCGACAGACATAGCAACACTGTCTTTGTGAGAAACTTGGGTCTTTTTAACTTTAGCGAGCCATTTAGCGCCCATTTTAGATCGCGGGGACATTCGACCTGTCCGGTTTAAGCCCATTAAGTGTACCAAAGACGGACGTTGCTTTTTAACACCTCTCTTTTTCCATAATTTTATTAAATACAGCAACCAAGTTGTTATTAAGTTAAGTGGCGCTGGCGCTGTTGTTGTTCTATTAAATAATAATTAATTAATAATAATAATAATAATAATAATAATAATAATAAAATGATTTATTTACCTGTGCATGTTTCTAATTAGTTTACTGAGACCATACTTCCATTCGATGTCCGACTGAGCTTGTATCCGTTGATAAGTGTCACTCATCATAGCAATTAGCAGGTTTATCAAGACAACAACTGATACCAGCATATAAATACCAAATGCAAGTTTGAACAGTCCTGTTGTCCATCCTGGTTGTCCTAGTTGTCCCGGTAACGGCGGGTCTGGTCCTTTGTAAACTTTGAACTGTTCGTGTGTTGTCTGTCCAAATATTGCGAAGAAGAGTAACTCAACCGCCAGTATTGGATTCATCTTAACTGTAATACCCCAATTTATTTTTTTTTTTTTTTTCTTTTTTTAACAATATTATTTAATAAATTATTTAGCATGCATCCGTGTTTATCATGCCAAATTCTTCACTACTTATAATTAATTTTTTACTCATACTCTTAATAATTATTTTTATTAATTCAATCTTAAATTAGAGATTAAAAAATTAAGTACATTAAAAAATTCTTGTTTTATCAATCATCACAAAGACTTGCATACATGCTCAGAATATTTATTTCAATTTCGTATGCAATTTTTTTTACATAAAACTTACACAATTATTCTCCCTTCTATTTGCAGTTCCATTGATTTCTAATAAAAATCTCTACACAAATTGTTTACAAATTTTTAAATATATTAATCAAGTTTTAAATTAATTTATCTAATTTATAGAAAAATTTTGAGCTTGATAAAAAATAAAATTAATAATTAGATAAAGTTGTTGGAGTTGAAGCCGCAGGATTTTCATTATTATCATCGTTACTTGGACTATCATCACTATTATCACTATCTTGCTTATCAGATTCACTACCGGTAATACTTTTGTATTTTTTACGAATAGCGTCCCAATCAACGACACTTTCAATTCTCAATGCAGTATTAAATGATAATTGGCTTCCTAATGGACTTAAGTGTGCAACAGACAATTGTAGATTGTCCTTTGACTGTACATGATGTACTTGGCCTTTTTTTATCTTTGATAACCATTTGGCACCCATCTTTGAACGCGGTGATAAACGTCCGGTATTTTGTAACCCCATCATGTGCACAATTGACGGACGTTTTTTTTTAACAATACGTTGTCGAAAAATTTTAATAAAATACACCATCCAGGTTGTTAATAGATTTAATGGCGACGGAGCCGTTGTTGTTCTAAAGTATAAAAATAACAATTTAATATTATTATTATTTACAATTGTTATGAAATAATTATCTATAATAATTAGAGCTTACCTGTGCATACTACGAATTAGTTTACTGAGCCCATACTTCCATTCAATATCTGACTGTGCTTGTATCCTTTGATAAGTGTTACTCATCATGGCAATAAGTAGATTTATTAAAACAACAACTGATACCAGCATATAAATTCCAAATGTTACTTTAAAAAGATTTCCAGTCCATTCTGGCTGCGCAGTCTCCAGTTTAAGCTCGTCATGAGTAGTGTGTCCAAATACAGCAAAGAATAAAAATTCAAATGCCAGTATAGGAGTCATTTTTGCTGTAATACGAGTCAATTTTTCTTTTTTCTTTTTTATTATAAATCATATTTAACATTACAGTGGCTATATAAGCAGACAGTCGCTATGCATTTAACAGATCATGCTCATGCGATGAATTATTTTTTTTTTTTTTTTTTTTTTATTTTTTGTTATTATGGCCATGCTTTGGATCTTTGATTTATTTTATTGCTGTTGTTGTTGTTGTTGTTGTTGTTGTTGTTGTTGTTGTTGTTGAAGAAACACACATACCATATTTTTAATTATTTGTATCAGGCATAAGTGGCTTCGTTTTTTAAAAATTACTTTTTTCTATTGTACAAACACTTATCAAACACTCATTGCACTTTTCATATACTTTAACATTGTTAATTATAAAAATGCACTCTTGCAAGGCGTAGAAAAGCGATAAGATAAAACGAGCAGGTGTTACACTTGCGTTCCTTTGCCGAGTATTTATTTATTATTTAATATCATTCCCTTTTTTTTTTTTAATTCATTTTTTGCATTCTCATTTACAATTCAAGATGCATCAGGCATTCACAATGCTCTTCTTTCACTTGTTGGTTTTTACAATAAAATTTTTTTTTTTTATTTTTCACAATTACTAGCCGCACGTGCATGTTACATCAAATTATTAAACGATTTTGCAATAGCGACCCGATTTTTTATTAAATATGAATTTGCTTTTTACTAATTTATAATTTTTAATAATTTTTTATTGAAAAATTCAATAAAACAAATTCATATTTATTTATTTATCTTCTCAGGTACGTGCAGTAAAAATCAATCACTGCTGCTCAATACATATATAACAAAATAATCGTGATGTTTGGGTGCATGCAATTTATATATTTTTATATATAAACTCTAATTAATCATTTGTTTTTTTTTTTTTTTTTTTTTTTTTTTAACCAGGTAAATATGTAAAAAATAAAATAAAACAATCTGGCAAAACGTGCTGGCAAAATATAATTCTAAGTACCCGAGTCAAAATTTAAGTCGTACATTCGACGTATTGAACGTTGAAAACGTAAGTTCAACGTATTGGACGTTGAAATCGTAATTTGAACGTATTGAACGTTAAAAACGTTAGTTGAACGTATTCAACGTATTGTGAGCGTAAATCGATTTTAAATTTTGCTGGTGCACCATGGTGCATGCAAGTATATTTTACAAATTCATTCCACTTAAGTGAAAATTTTAATTATTAATGAAATTTTAGGTATATTGAAGCTTTATGCTTGAAAATCTAACTATAAGTCGGTCAATGAGCTCCTCAAATCTTCAAAATATTTTTGAAATGCAAATGAAAATCAATCTAATACTTTTCAAAGATCTCAAAATATCGAGATTGAATGAGAATTTGGCTCTCAAAAATCAATCTTAATTTAATAACTTCCTTAATTCCAATCAACCGTAATTTTATTAGTTGATTAAATATGCAAGTAGCTAAAAATTAACTCAATCAAATCTTTGGGAAAAGCTCTTAAATAAATTTAGCCTATAGGTTATTTTTTACGGATTGGTATATGACATTTGTAACTTTTAATTTTTACTACGGATCATATATTCTTCTTAAAACAGTTGAATCTATATTTTTTACGTTCAATACGTTCAAATTACGATTTCAACGTCCAATACGTTGAACTTACGTTTTCAACGTTCAATACGTCGAATTTACGGTTTAAACGTTCAATACGTTGAATCTAAGACTTAAATTTTGACTCGGGTATATTCTTTATAGAAAATCATTTATCGAATTTTTTATCAATATATTTTTGAGTTGGATATTTTAAAAAAAATTCATCAGGCAGCATTTGATCAAGCACACGCGCGTACACGTTAATTTCAAAAATAAAATATTGCAATGCATTTTGCTGTTTTTCATACTTTTTTATACTTGTTTTTTTTTTTACACATTTCTTTATTTACCGGTTTTTTGTTTGTTTTTTTTGTAACTTAGACTTACTATTTCGAGATTCATCACCACAACACTCATTTTTAATCCTTTTACGCTGCGAACGTCGAAAGGGATATTCTGGTTGTTTAATTACCTCCACATCATAGTTGAACAATGAATCTATTTCTGTAATTTATCCTATTATCTATAACTAAAACTATTTTCTAATTCTAATATCTTGTGCTTAAAATAATCTATCAGTGATTAAAAAATAAACTTTTGATTATATCAAATTGTAATCATTAGTTTTACCCTATAAAATAATCCTAAAGTAGATAATTATTAACAAGAAAATTATATTAATATTGATGTAAAAAGTAGAAGAAAAAAAAAACTTACCATCTGAAAAAGCATTCCTTTTGGTTCTTGCTTGAGGACCATTGACAAACGCCTGATTTAGAGCAACAAAGTGCATTGAAAATCCAAAGACAAATATCGCGAGTACCGCCAAAAATCTTGCTAAATCCTTCATAAGATTCCCAATAATAATGGCCCAGGGTCCAAATAGATGATGGAATGATAAAAAATCCAATATTTGTACACAAGCCAGTAAAAAACTCAACGCAAATAATTGATTGCGTAGATACAACAGTGTTGGCCAGTAATATTTATCAACAATAGTCCATGCTGCTAAATGTAAACCAACACCAGTTATACTAAACAGCAGTACTGCTAATTTAATCCAGCCTAAACCACTTTTGTCACTCGGGTTTGTTAGTTCAAATAATAATAAACCGGATAACATAACTAACAAACACCACTCGTATGAGTAAGGCAGTAAATTTGACCTCATAACTGCAAACGGCGGGATTATACCCACTAATAAAAGTAGCACCATTAAATATACATGTGACGTTAAGTATGACATGAATTTAATAATTGGTACGTTGTTGTATTTATGTCCTAACGGTAAGGCGAATACTATCCACACTGGTGGACAAATTAAAAATGTTATAAACAAAAGAATTGTACGAAATGCACTCCATGTTAATGGTCCACGCCACAATTCTTGTAAGTAACGTTGCACTACTGTATGGGCAATAACTTCTTTTTGTTCATTTTCTATTAGTACATCTAAAAATTCAACATTACGGCGGTCCATTGATGTTAGAATACGACCAGCTGAATCAGCACCGGCTGCTAGTGCCAATAATTCAGTGGCCATACTTTCGCACTGTTTTCCAGCGGCTATCAAGTCTTTGGCTCGTTCTTTTTCCTTTTCCGATAATTTCATATAAATATTTGATAATTTAGCAGCTGTATCCACTGGAGCTGGTGATACAAGAACAAATTCCTCAATTGGTTTATTATTGTGGCTTTTACTGCACACCATCATGTTGTAGACAAACTAACAAAAAAAAAAAAAAAAATTTATTATAATATTTAAGATATTATTATTACAATTACAATTATAATTATAATTATTACTACCCTTCGATCTTCCATCAATGCATATGTATCGTGCTCCTTTTCCATTAAATATTTTAATACGTCATTGTGACCCTCAGAAGCGGCAAACCAAATAGGTGCACTTCCAAGATTCGTTTCAGTCTTTGGTGAAGCACCACTTTCAACTAGTAATCTAACAACATCTAAATGACCTGCCCTTGCAGCACAATGCAACGGCGTCCATCCATTTTTGTCAGTAGCATTAATCTCTGCGCCTTGACCCAACAACACTTCAACCATTTGATAATGTCCGTGATTAGCAGCAATATGCAATCCTGTTTTTCCATAACGATCTGCTTTGTGAAGTAATTCTGCTGATCTACTTAATAATAAACCAACAACCGTTATGTGCCCACCAAAGCACGCTAAATGAAGTGGATTGTAACCATTTTCAGTAGTAGCTGCTTCTACCTATTATTAATTATTATTATTATTCTTTAATATAATTATTTAAAATAATTTATTTGATTAATAATATACTTACCTGAACTCCAGCTGAATTAAGCAGCAATCTAACGACATTTTCATTTCCTGAATAAGCCGCCAAGTGAAGTGGTGTCATTCCGGATTCACTTCCAAGCTCACCAACTAATGAACCTCCGGTTGGTGGATCTGATTTAACCGTTCCCGGTATATGAGTAAGCAATTCTCGCACAGTATCTATAAATACATTTTTATTACAATAATATGGAGATAATGATAATAATTAATGAATAAAATAATTTACCAGCTTGACCAAAGTAAGCGGCAACATGTAAAGCAGTAACGCCTAATTTTTTACTGGATACTCTTAATGTTTGAGAAGTTCTCATGACTTCCAATACTTGTCCATGGCCATGTTGAGCAGCTAAATGTACAGCTGTAAAACCAGCACGATTTTCATCAATACAAGATGCACCAGCACGTACTAATGCTTTAACAACTTCAGCATGACCACCCTCGGCGGCCAATTGCAACGGAGTTGCTTCAGTTAATTTATTTCTAGCAGATATAACACCCTGACGATCAAATTTCATTAATTCTTCAATTACTCTAACACTACCTTGCATTGCCGCAATGTGAGCGCAAGTATTACCGTCTTTGGTACAAGCCATAACAAGACTTGGATGGCTTTGTAAAAATAATTGAACAACTTTTGCATAATTATTCATAGCAGCAGCATGGATTGGCTTTTGTCCTTGATCATCAGTAGCGTCAATACTAGCACCAAGATCTAATAATAATTGGCATACTTCAAGTTGTCCAGAGCCAGCAGCTAAATGAAGTGGGGTTTGTTTTCTCAGTGTTAATACATCAATAGCAGCACTGTGATCTTGAATTAAAAATCTAACAAGATGTGTGTAACCATTCATAGCAGCTAAATGCAATGCTGTACGTCCAACACGTGATTTAGAGTTGATGAATGCCTTGCTGGCTAGCAGAGCGTCGCAGACTTGGAGATAACCATGCTCAGCGGCCAGGTGTAGCGCTGATCTACCCTCAAGATCAAATACGTCAACCCGGGCATGATTAGCTAATAATGTTGTTACCAATTCCATATGTCCACGATGAGCAGCTATCAGCAGCGGCGTCCAACCAACAGCACTTTGTTTGTTCAATGCTTTTTGTACATCCGTTGATGACATGTGATTTATCATTTCTGTTAATGCTTGATTATTACCAGCCAATGCACAATAATGAAATGCCGTTTCTTGATTCTGTTTTGTTTGCAATGATACATCAGCAGCATTTTCTAATAAACTACGTACAACAGCACGATCATCACCCAATTCAATAACTTCTGTTGGTTCTATTTGTCCAGCATAGTGCAGTGGACTAGCACCATCATTATTAACAGTATTTACATAATTAGTTGCCACGTCACGGCCCTTTTTTTCTTTAACAAATTCTATCAAATATGATGCTACTGCTGAACGACAACCACGACAGGCTAGATGTAATGGTGTTTCACCATTTTTAGATTTATACATTGGATCACCACCATCCTCTAATAATAATTTAAGGGTTGTTAAATTACCATACTTAGCAGCAACATGTACTGGTGTTTGTCCATCATCAGTCGTTAAATTAGGACCAGCACCACTTTTAAGAAGCATCAATGCACATCTATCACCATCTAACACCCTAGCAGCAATATGCAGTGGTGTTTCATGAAGTTTACCACCACGTACATGCACTTCAGCACCATAACCGAGTAATGTTTCAACAACTGCAGGTTTAGCACTTTCAACAGCAATATGAAGCGCTGTATAATTGTCATTTGTTGTTGCGTCAACTTTTTCACCACGTTGCAACAGTGTACTTATAATACCAACGTGTCCATAACGTGATGCTGTATGAATAGAACGTGCACCACGTTTATTTGGCATATGAAGATAAACTCCCTTTTTAAATAACATATTGGCACATTCTGAATGACCATTTAATGAGGCGATATGCATTAATGTTGATCCATCTTTGGTACGTTCAAATATACTGGCTCGGAATTTTTCAGCCAACAAATCAATTATTGATGCGTGACCATTTTCAGCTGCCAAGTGCATTGGTGTACGATCTTGATGATCTGCTATTGACGCTGATGCTCGCACACCATAAAAATATTTAACCAAAGTCTCATCACCTTCAGCACTTGCTATGTGCAAAGGCGTTTGTCCCTCCCCCTGAATAATTTATTTAAAATAATTATATATTACTATTGTAAAAAAATTGTTTAGTAATAATAATAATAATAATAATAATATTAATTACATTTTGCATGTCAACTTGGGCACCATAATCAACAAGTATTCGGACCATATCAACATCACGACGACGAGCAGCAAGATGTAATGCTGTATCTCCAGCCGGTGTTGTTGCCCGTAATTGTTCTGGTGCTTGTTGGGCTAATAATTCACGGCACATTGATTGATTTCCAGCTTCAACAGCCAACAGTAATGGAATTTTTCCTTTCTATTTATTATCATCATTCATCATAAATGGAATGAATAAAAACAATTATTTTATGTTATTTGTATGGAAATGATAAAAATAATAATAAGAAAACAGAACGGTAGTACCAGCCAGCGAGCGATACATTGAGTCTTGTCACGCAAACAATTTATAACGACATTTGTTCGACTCTTTTGGTATCAATGCGAGACATACAGTGGGGCATATAATAACATTAATTGTCTATAAAATACTTACACCATCAATACTCAGACGTATTTCTCGTCCAGCGGCATTTAAAAGGGCTCGTAGTATTGATGTTGCTGTACCTGTTTGTCGCGATGCCACAAGATGAACAGCAGTTTGTTGTCGTGGCTGTTTATTTAACAAAAATGAATGTAAAATTTGACAATTAAATTATTGGATTTATTTTTTAAACTTACACCACCAGTCGAATAAGGATCAACCCCTTTTTTAGATAACAACAGTTTAACAACATCTTCACGGGAATACATTGCTGATATTTGAAGTGCATTGTAGTTATCCTTAAAAAATAATAAAACATCAGCATTACAATAAGGTAATTATACTGTAAATAGGTTTATGCCTCGCCCTTTTATTACTTAAATTATTGGCCCCAGCAATTACGCGGTTGAGTTTATTAACCATGCAATTTAAATATTACACTTGATTATTGATGCACGGGGAGTGGTTACTGGTCGATAAAGCTTTTGCAGATATTCATGTATAAATTTCTAGCATATCTGCTGACACCTGACACACAAGTCTTTCATATTAGGAATTTATTAACAGGAAAGAAAAAGCGTGGGACAATTTGGTGAGTCAATCATAATTATTATTTCAACGAAAGAAAAAAAAAAAAAAAAAAAAAAAAAAACTCTTAGTCACGATCCAAGCTTACATTATTTGTAATATGAAATCACGGCTAGTCAAGTATGTAGTGTTAAATTAATGTTAAGGACTGCGTGGAACGGTGGGGTCTTATTGCGACTGTTATCTTAATCATGGATCGTAATACTTTTTTTGTTCTACTGACTCCAGGTGACCTACTTTTAATCTTTATGCCCTCAACTTAGCTCATTTATTTTTTTATAACACCTTGGCCTTGGGCCTTTCTGTCTGCTATAGGTACATATCATATAAATTCATTTTTACGTATCGTAAATTTACATAATTAATCAAAATTTTTATTTTTTTAATTTATAGACTTGCGTGATTTTACCGGTGCAGTTAAAAATAAAATTTTTTGAATTTAATCTAAATATTTTAGTAATAAAAAAAAAATAATTAATTACATTATTTCGAGCACCAACGTCAGCACCAAGTTCTATCATTCGGTCAAGAAAAGCTGTACGGTTATCCTTGACAGCATACATCAGAGGTGTCATACCAGTTGTCTAAAAATTAATAAATTATGTAATATAATTATATTAATTATGGTAATACCATAATATCATGATAGTACCATAATTTCATGGTAATAATAATTATAAAACAAACCGGATCCATAAGACCGGCAAGCGGTGCAGGATTGCCTTCATCTCCAGCACTTTGTACCGCTTTTTCCAGAGTCTTAAGAAGCTGATCAACGGGCGCCCATTCACCTCTACTGGCAAGTGCAAGTAATCTTTGTGCACCTTCACGTGCAGTAGCACCAGCAGAACCAGGTTTACTACCAGGCTGTGATGGTTCTGCACTAGGTAATCCATTATTACCAGTTCCAGATCCTGATCCTGTTTCATCTTTATTATTTGAACTATCTTCTTTGCTTGACAATGCATTCTTTTTGTCTTCTTTACTGGTAGCAGTACCACCACTTCCACCACCACCACCACCACTACTACCACCAACAGCACTAGCTCCTGTTTTTTTGCTATTGCTACTCATATTGCCAAATTATACTTTTTTTTAAACTTTGTTTTTCTATTATTGTCATCATGTTTCATTAATTAACACACAACTTTAATAATTTAATTTGTTTATAAAAAATAATATATGATTGTAAAAAAAAAAAAAGGTGCACACAGTACAAACACTCGAATGAATCTAAAGAAAGGTTTAAGAACAAACCTGTACAAACTACCCGACAAAACAGGGTTGGTTGAATTTACCAATCAGAGTCTTGCTGCTCAAGTTCGTTAAGCTAGTACTGGAGCAACCACCACCACCACCACCACTTTCAATAAAAATGGTAGTAATGTATGTTGCTTTTGTTAGATGTGTGTGTTTGTAAAATACAAAGACAGAATTTGAATGAGTAGTAGTTTTCAGGCACGATTTAAGACACATGGAAGAAGTGGGTGGTTGAAGAAGGAGTTTAAGAACCAGGGTGGTGTACCAGTCAGCTTTGCCGACACGCGACTTCCGGCTACCGAACTACCAGGCACGCTATACATACGCTGTGTAAAATAATGCTTTCCTAACTATAATAATAAGGGTAAATAAAACTCAATCTGTTATATCTAATATAATCTTATTTTTTATAAACCTTGATTTTCTTTTTATTCTTTTTTAATTTGTTTTATATTCATTTTTCCAATAATTATGCAGTTGTTCAATATCATGAATTAAATAAACCCAATAATGATATTTAATATAATTATTAAAAAAAAAAAAAAAAAAAAAAAAAAGAGATTGGTAATGGATATATTATATACAAGGTCTTCAAGTTCATTCATTATCTTATTATTGAAATTATATAAAAATGTTATAGAGACGAATTTTCATCCGCATTGCAGTATTAATTATATATATATACCAATTGTCTAATATTGTCTCTATTACCGTTTATACACTGATGCAGAAATAATAAATCACTTGGAGTGATTTATTTGTTCATCAACGATTCGTCAACAAAAAGACATAATAGATACTTATTACGTCTTAATAATAGTTGACGCTCACCGACTTATTTTGCCTTGAACTCACATGCAATCTTTCATTTATTTATATAACATTTTAAAAAAAATCAACCTCGTTTGCTACATATGCAAAAAAATAGATAAGATTATCATATTGTTGATTATTATTATTATTATTATTATTATCATCATTAAAAGTCATAACATACTACTTGACAATATAGTATAATAATTATCTCTAACAAGTCTTAGTCTCAGTCTTAAATACTCTTTACGTCAACATTTCATTTATTAATAATTTAAATAAAAATGTTTTTAATAAAAAAGAATCTAAGGTATAATTTTTTATTATAATTACAATTTTTTTTTCTCTAATAATTGAATTTATTTTTCAAGTTGTAAAAAGTTTGAAAGTTTATTAAAACACTGCAATAGACTAATTAAAAAAAAAGGAGTAAAGTTAAGCAGTAATACAGCTGCATACAATGATCCAAATTTATCGTATCGTTCAAATCCTGGAAAGGAGCCAATTATTGACACGACAGTTGGTAAATTATTTGAGCAAGTATCTAAAGAATTTCCAAACCGCGAATGTGTTGTTTCTGTTGAACAAGATAATACCCGTTTAACATACTCTCAAGTACTTGAAAGGGCTGATAAATTAGCAGCAGGGCTTAAAAAATTAAATATTAATTATGGTGACCGTGTTGGAGTTTGGGGTCCTAATCACTATCAATGGTTAATATCATTCATTGGAATTGCACGAGCTGGTTGTATAATGGTTGGTATTAATCCTGCTTATCAACAAAATGAATTGAATTATTCTTTAAATAAAGTTCAAGTTAACACTGTTATTGCTCCGGATAAATTTCGAAGCCAGGATTATGGCAAAATGTTGAGAGAAGCTAAAAATAATTGTTCGGCTTTGAAAAATATTATTTTGTGGACGGACAAAGCGATTCCGTAAGTAAATTTTATAATTATTTAAATTTTGTAATTATTAAAATTGTTATTTATTTATTTATTTATTTATTTTGCAGAGGGACGTATAAATTTTCAGACGTTGAATCTCTTGCTAGTAAAATTGAAATTGAAGGAATAGCAGCAACTCAAAATGAAATCTCACCTTACGATGGTTGTAATATACAATTTACTTCGGGTACCACTGGATTTCCAAAAGCCCCTTTAATATCACACAAATCATTTGTTAATAATGGCCGTATGGTAAATTATTAATAAATAAAAACTGTTTAAGTTTAAATTAATATTAATATAAGTAAGTATTTTTTTTAGACCGTATACAGATCGCAGCTGATGAATTATCACCACAAAGCTTGTCTAAACGTCCCATTTTTCCATGCATTTGGTATGATACACGGATGCATGGTTGCTTTTAATACCGGTATGACTTTAGTACTTGAATCCCCGACTTTTAATCCAAAAAAATCAATAGAAACAATCGTCAAAGAAAAATGCACTCTTGCTTATGGTACTCCGACAATGTGGGTGAGATTAATAAATTAATTTATTTTATTCAAAATAATTATAATTTTTCTATTAATTAGGTAAACATGTTGGACATGCAGGATCGATTAAAAGCTCCAATCTCGTCATTGCATTTAACAGCAACTGGAGGGGCAATAATTTCACCTGAATTAATTAAAAAAATACGAAATACATTTAAAGTTGAAAAACCATCGGTAAGATTTATAATTTTAATTGTATGGATTGTAATTTGAATATCAGGTCAATGACTTAAACTTTGTCATTGTTATCTATGCACATATCTTTGAAAATAAGGGCGGATAGGAAATTTATGTGCATAAATTTCCTATATTTCGAGATAAATATATTCACACTAATTTGTATATATTTGATCAATAGTTTGGTGTTTATTAATTTATTTTTAAGATTATTTATGGCCTCACGGAAAGTACTGCTGTTGTTTTTCACTCTGTACCTGGTGATCCACCTGAATTAAATGATTACACTGTAGGATATCTTCATGATCATCTCGAAGCAATGGTTGGTTATATTATTTTATTAATTTAATAAACTGTTGAATTTATTTAAATTAAAAAAAAAAAAAAAAAAAAAAAAAAAAATTTAGGTTGTAGATGATAATGGATCTCCAGTTCCTATTGGAAAACCAGGAGAATTATGGACTAGAGGGTACTCTACAATGATTGGATATTGGAATGATAAAGAAAATACTTCAAAAACAATAACTGATAATGGTTGGTTGAAAACTGGCGATAAATTTATCCTACATTCTAATGGATATGGGGAAGTTATTGGAAGACTAAAGGATATGATTATTCGCGGTGGTGAAAATATTTTTCCTAAAGTAAGTTTTATTGATCTGTATTATTAAGATATGACCTTGTATTTTATAAACTATTGATATTTTTAAAGAATAAATAAGCTCATTCTGATGTTATACTCATCGAGACCTTTCATTTGAGTACCCACATCAATTTTTCATATATTTCATATGAAATGTATATATGAAAAATATATAAAAAATGCATATAAGTACTCAAATGAAAGCTCTTGATGAGAGTAACATCAGGATGAGCTTATTTATTCTTTAAAAATGTCAATAGTTAAGAAAGTATAGTGCAATTTAACAAAATTAATTATTTAATAAAATAAATTTATATTTGAAGGAAATTGAAGGATTTTTAGAAACACACAGTGATATATTAGAAGCACAAGTATTTGGTGTAAATGATGATGTTTACGGTGAAGAAATTTGCGCGTGTATTCGTTTGAAAGAGAGTAAAACAAAACTAACTGCTGATGATATTAAAAAATTTGCCAAAGGAAAAATATCTAATTTTAAAATCCCACGTTATATTGAATTTGTCGATGAATTCCCAAAAACAACCAGTGGAAAAATTCAAAAGTTTAAATTGAAACAATTAATGGAATCCAATGGACTTATTCCTGTATAATCTAAATAAAAATTTTTCTACTTTTTTATTCATTTTTTTTATTAAATAACACAAAGACGATAATGAAAAATACGTTAAAAAATATAAAACAATAGTTATAAAGACTTTTTTTTTTTTTTTTAATCTAATAATAATTATAATATTTATGAATGAAGATGATATAAATATTTTATTATTATTATTTAGATTTAGTTTTAATTAGTGGACTAATAAATTTAATTATCTAATATGCATGATTAATTTAATGCGCAGGCAATAAAATATTTATTAAAAATAAAAAAGAAAATTAATATTGATTTAGTTTAATTATAAACTACGATGGATAACGGGATTCAGTACAAGGTCCAGTAGTATCATCTGCACAAGCGCATGTTCGTCCTCCTTGTCCATCTGGTAAACATAATTGATCCTTGTAACATCTTCCATTTTCATATTGACAGACGTTTGATACTGTTAATTAAAATTTTATAAATTAAAATTAAATATTAAATTTGTTATTTTATTATTTATTGATAATTTACTTCGTGGACATGATTCAGGAACAGAAACAATTCCATAGAGCTTTCCACTTCCCCCAGGTGGTATTGACAATGAATTTTCTTTCAGACCCGTTGTTTTAGATATTACTTCTATTTTGTATCTGTTAAAAAATAATAATAATAATAATAATAATAATAATAATTAATAAATAATAATTAAGAAAAATATATATTAAAATGATTATTAACGTTTTCCAATCAGTCCAATAGTAATTTTCTTCAGATATTGCCAATCCAAATGGATAAGATAATTCTTTAGCTACAGTTCGTATCAATTTTTGGTCAATTGGAGTGCAACCTTTTAAAAAAAAATTATTTATTTAATAAATAAAATTAATAATGTGTAAACGGAAAAAACAATATTATACTGAATATTATTCCAGATTATATTCATTGTAATTTTGGATTATACTCAGCAGTATAATCTTGTTTTTTCCGTATAAAATTTATAAATATATTTTAATTACTAATTGTAAATGTTCCAGCATCAGTCCAACATAATTCATCAGTCGCCCAATCAATACACAGTGAATTAGGTAACTGTACTTTGTCGCCATCTAAAAATATTTCCCTTCCGGAACCGTCTTCATTGGACCATTCTAATTTTGGCTTTACGCGATTCCAGTCGGACCAAAATAATTTTCTGAAACATTTATTTATAACTATTGATAGTAATAAAAGTAATAATCTAATAATTGTATTAAAAATAAACTCACCCTCGATAAGGATGAACGGCAATACCTCGTGGATTAACAAGTCCATCAGATATAATAACTTTTCTTTTTTTAGTAGCTAAATTAGCAACTTCAACGGTACCCTTACCAGAATCTGTCCAGAATATATTCCGTGATACCCAATCGATAGAAATACCTTCTGAACTACTAACTCCGGTAATAAATGTTTCAACGTTCGACCCATTGTATGATAATTTAGTTATTTTGTTACCAGTAATATCACTGGTGTAAAGATTACCACCAGTACAATCAATATCAATGGCTATTGCCATTTGAGCGTAAGCCAAGTTTATCGGAATACCTGGATTAGCCGGCGTCGGATAATACGGAATTTTAAGTGTTGCCATTCCTTGATTGACCAGCAAAAAGTTAGCTGGATACTTTGGCTTTGATTTACAATTAAATCCATCCCCTGCAAAACCTTGATTACAAACACAAGCATAGTCACTGCCTCCAACAAGAACGCATGTTGCGTCTTGCGAACATACACTGGGTTCTTTAAGGCATGATATTTGTGGTATACAATTAAATCCATCACCATAGTATCCCTTTAATAAAAATTATTATTATTATCATCATCATCATCATCATCATATGATAAAATAACCTTTTGTATCTTGTGAAATATTGACATTTTTAAAGATATATATATATATATATATATATATAAGCTCACCCCGATGTTGCAACTCATCAAGACCTCTCATTTGAGTACCGACATCAATTTTACATATATTTAATATATTATATATATATATGTATATATAAAAAATATATGAAAAATTGATGTGGCTACTCAAATGAAAGCTCTTTATGAGTGTAACATCAGAATGAGCTTATATATCTTTAATAAACGTCAATATTTAAAAAAAATACAGTGCAATTTAACAAAAATCATTATTTAATACATAGTGACTGTAAGGTTGCTAGTTTATCATTATTATAAAATAAATTTAATATACTTACGGGCAAGCAGACACATGCAAAATTAGTTGATGTTTGATTGTAACCACAAACTGCATTATTCCCGCAGTTATTGAGAATATTACAACCAATATGATCTTCCGTACATTGATTAATTCCATCACCGTGAAAACCATTCATACAAACGCATTTATAACCACCGTCCCGGGTTATACATTGTCCATTTTGATGGCACATCGAAGGATTGGTAGAGCAATCCGCTGCCACACATCTCCCATTTACCATGTTAAACTCTGGATTGCAAGTGCATTCATAACGAGATTTTGATGGATTGTATGAACATCTCTCGTCAGTATCACATTCCGAGTGATCGCTGCATTCATCTATATAAATAATTACATATTATATAATAAATTTATTTCCTTATTAATCTTTATTAATTATTTAAATTTAAAAGAAACCAATAAGTGTGCACGATGTTCCATCTCCTTCGTATCCTGGATTGCAGACGCACTTAGCTATTGGCTCATCGGGTCGACAAGATGCATTAGGGTCACATATATCAATATCCAAACAAGATACATCTGTTTGTTTAAAAAATTAGTAAAGCTAATGCTTTCAATCAAAATGCAATTATTAAATTATTTATTATTAAAAAATAATAATTAATACCTGTCTTGACGCACTCAATACCATCACCTTCGTATCCGGAATTACAGCGGCACTCGTATTCATCGGTGTCTTTTATAAATACACATTGAGCGTACGGGTGACAAGTATTAACAACATTACAAGATACTGTACATAACATATCAAAAATGCAATATTAATAATTGTTATAATAATTCAATAGTTTCATATTGTTAATTTTAATTTAAAGCATTATATTTTATTGATATATGTAGGGCAAATAAGCTATAAGCTGTGTATGTTAAAATTCAAATATTATAGATTAGTATAGATTAATTAAGCAGAGGCAAGTCATGCCGTACATTTGGATCCTGAGGGACCCATCGTTTCGTAGTTATATCCTGGCCTAGGGAGGCAACTGTTATCCAGCCGTTGGTAATCATACCCCCAGGGACAAATGCAGTTGTTCTTCAAGCATTCTGGAAGTGGCTGAGCAACCACTAAAATAATTCACGATGCAATTTTCATACATATTTATTTTGTTAATAATTAACTCAAAGCTTTAAATAAAAATACCATCATTCATATTATAATTTATAAACTTACGATCATCATCATCATCATCATCATCATCATCATCATCATCATCAGATGATTTTGGTTTCTGCTGTATATTTAATTTATGACAATTATCATCACGGAATTCATACCCGGGTGGACACCAACACATTCCTTTAGTATCACAGTGTGGAGAAGACATCGTTGAAGTTGAATTAGGTCTCACTGTAATGCTTGTTACTTGAGATTGAACATAACAATTGTATCCATCACCTGTAAATTTCATTATTCATCATAATCATTAAAAATTATTATTAAATTTTTTTAATTAATTGTACATTACCAATGTAACCAGGTAAACATATGCATATATGAGTTTGTTTGTCTGTATCGTATGTACAAACTCCTTTAGGTGAACAATTATTTGCCAAATTGCAAGGATCTGTAATTAAACAATTAATAATAATTATAATAAATAATATTGTAGCTAGTTAGTACCATTAGCTGGATAACAAGGACCACCAGGTCTGTCGTTTATAAAGCCTGGAACGCAGGAACAAATTGGTACATCATTTACTAATGAACATTGTTCATATTCACCGCAACGTGTATCTTGGCAGGTCGCTAATTCTAAAATAAATTTATTAATCAGTACCAAAATAAATTGAATTATAAATAAGATAATTACTTTCACAAATTCTGCCATCGCCGGAAAATCCAGGACGACATTGACAAGTATGTCCACCCTCATTATTAATACACTGTGCGTCAGATGAGCACACGTGATAGCCAGCAGTACATTCATTTATATCAACACAAGATGAGCTCCCATTTTCTTCATACAATTGCTGATAACCAGCGTTACAAACACACCGAAAATCATCACCGTCAATAACACAAGAGCTGTGTTGACTGCAACTCTCACGGCCTCTGATGCAAGGGTCTTGTTCCTCCAGGGCTGTTATTTTGGTGTTTATTGCAAAACGCAAAATACCCTCTCGAGACTCATAAGTTGTTAATCCACGGGAATATTTAAGTCTCGTAGTTCCATCGGGTTGCTCCGGATCATAGGGACAATCGTGATACATTATTGATTGATCCAAAGTAAATGGATACTCTGTTTTGTCACCAGCCAACTTGTAAATTTTATTGCTGTGCGATCTAATGGTACCTTTTTGATTTTGGGTGTAAAGTTCGTCGTAATCACCGTAATCTACTTTTGCGTCTCGAGGTAATTGAGGCAATGTACCCTGAATATCAGCTTCCATTTTTAATTGACCAAATACATCCAGTCCCATGTAAACACTTTTTATCAATATACGATCACCCGTATTTCCAAATATTAACTCTGCTGAGTGATTAAATAGACCACCTAAACAATTTTTATTTTTATATAATAATATCATGATTGATAATGTTAAAAAAATAAATAATTACCGGTAAGCTGATAGCCATTTTTAAGTTCACCAATTGGTTTTGCAAAGAGCCAGCCAATAATTCCACCAAGTGTACCCAATAATTGCATATTCTGACCAATATTTTCGGGTATTCTCGACAAAGCTGTATAAGTTCTACCGTCTTTAGTTTGTACATAACATTGAAGATCTCGGGCTGTAAATTCTTCTCCGTTTATTTTTCCAGAAATACGTCCAATTACTCGCAGTGGCAAATCTATATTTTATTTTATTTATTATATAATTAATAAATTTTATTTTATTTATTATAATTAATAAAATGACAAAAGTTAAAAATATCAGAGTTTACTTTGTTGAGGGTATGGCTCTGATCTTAATTGTGAAAAAAAAAAAAAAAAAAAAACCTAGGTATCTTTGATAAAAGCTTACTTTTGAAACTTTGTGAAAAACAACAATAGTAAAAGTATAAACTTTTTTGTATTATGATTATTTTTATTTACCATTAGGTTGACAGAATTTTCCGTTACCAAAGTACCCTGGTTTGCAATTACAACAATAACCATACTCGTAGTCAACGCAGACGGCTTTACTGTGACAAGTTGTTGCTCCAGTCATACAAGTCTGATCGCTCGGCTGATTTGATTCTGTAAGTAAATTAGTAAACGCTTGACGCGCAATTTACACGTTTACACAAGTTAGTAATAAAATTATTATTATTATTATTATTATTATTATTATTATAGGACAGATAAAGTCAGGGATAAATTTAAAGATAAATAAAGATATGCAGTGTCCTACTTTCAATGTTGTCTGGGTTTTTAATATTTCTTCCATCAGCAATCGGACCTATTTGAAATATCCATTGACCGGGACGGTTAATGTTTGACCATCTATTTGTTAAAGATAAAATTATTTTATTTATTTATTGATGTATGAGAGAAAAAAAATAAATAGTACTTGTCGATATTTTGAATTTGATCTGTTCCAGATCCTTTTAATGTGTACATTCTTCCTTCACTCATAAATCCAGCTTGAGCTCTGGCATCTGGAAGACCATTTGGATGTGATTCTCCCTGTATCCATTGTATTCCACCATTTGGATAAAGTAATTCAGCAAATGAATGGGTACCATTTGAAGATATTGCCACTTGATAAGTATTAACCTGATTTAATTTTTTTTAAATAAAATATAAAACAATTGTATAGTTATTAAAATAAATAAAATAAAAATGAAAATGAACCTTGTCGTGTTTTCCATTAAAGTAACCAACATCAACCCAGGTTGTTAAGAAAACGTGAATAGGCATAAAATCAGTAATATTTTTATAAGCTGAGCGAACCATGCTGGCTGAGCGTGACAAAATTTCAGGATTGTCCGTTTCACCATAAAAAATTTTACCAGAGCCTTTTGTGTCGACGTGAGTATACAAAGGTGCAATAACTGGATCATCCAATGGAAATGCTATGTTGAAAAATCTCTGCATCGATCGTATAAATGACAATACCCCATTTTCATTTACCTGAATAATATAAATAATAATAGAGGTTGTGCTTTTTATACTTGACTCGTCAAAGTCAAACAAATAATTTTGTATACAAAAATAAACACATGACAAAGACAAACGATTTTTATTATTCCTGTCACGTGGAAAACTATGGCGCTACTTGATCAAGCTAGATTTTTTTAGGAAAAACAGGCGCTAATATTTAAAAAAAAATTAAAAAATATTCTGTAAAAAATTACTTGATTATTATTATTATTATTTTTTTTTTTTTAATTTATTTGTTAAAAAAATTATTTAAATTTTCTATAAAAATAAACAGCACAGTTGTAAAGCAGCGCGCATGCGTGGGTTTGAAATCTGCGCAGTTAAGCTGCGCAGAAGGGATGAATTGCAAGTTTATTAACGGTCGCGCAAGCCGGCAGCCATTTCAGTCCCGGAGCCCACAGCCAACGCTTCCTCATTGACATCTCCCGCGTATTTAGTATGATATTGCAGTAATAATTTAATAATTTATACCCAATATTATTTACTAATGCCCCTTTTGCTATCAAGATAATAATTTAAGAAAAATATTTATGGTAAGATTATTATTTATTGAAATAAAATTCCCGTCTCGTACTACGGACTATAAAACCTTCTAGAAGCTTCCGGGTTTCTTTTGTTTTTTAATTCATATTGTTAGATATTAATTAATATTTATTAATTATTAGCTTCACTTAATTTAAAAATAGTATTGTTATTAATTATTAAAAAAAATTTATAAAAATTAATAAGAAACGTTGTTCGGAAGCAACGCGCATGCGCGGATTCGAAATTTGCGCAAAAGGAATGACTTGTAACTTTTAACGGTCGCGCGAGCCGGCAAGCCAGTCCACTCGCCTAGCCAACAGCCAACGCTCCTTCATTGACATATTTCCCGCGTATTTAGTAGGATAATGCAGTAATAATTTTATGATTTAATAATAATTTATGGCCAATATAATTTAATAATGCCCATTTTGCTATCAAGATGATAATTTCAGAAAAATATTTATATGGTAAGATAATTATTTATTAAAAATGAAATTCCCGCACTGTGAATAGCCCGCGAAAGTTCCAGGTTTCTTTTGTTTTTTAGTTGATATTGTTAGACATCAAATAATATTTATTAATTATTAACTCAATTTAATTCAACAATAGTATTATTAAATATTAAATATTAAAAGAATTTATTAAATAAATTTTTTTGCAAATAATTCATAGTCGCCAAATCGTCTGCCATTTTGTTTTTGTAAATAGAAATAATATTTTAGTTAATTTTTTTTTTATACTAAATTCCAAATAATTAAAATAATTATGTGACTACGCAGAAAAAATTATTAAATAATATAAAATAAATTGTTATATTATTAAATAATTTATCATTTTTTTCATTCAATATGTATAATTGCACGGTAAAATAATATAAAATGGGTATCAAATATTCTCGAGAAAAATTTTTTCAAGGTGAGAAAATTTTTTTCTCAGCTCAAGTAGGTGGCGCTGCTTCCCTAAAGTATCTAAAAATCTTGATCAAATATAAAAATTTATAGTATCTAGCATTTATGATCATTTGAATTAAGAAAAATAACTACCAGCAAAAATAGAATTTAAATTTTTATTTCTGTGTATAACTAGCTTCAGAATTATAAAAATTGATAAAATTTGTAAAAAGTTAATGAAGAAACGTTGACTTGCGGACTCAAAATCGGAATATTTAACACTCGGTCTAAAGTTTCAGTTTTGTTGTTCCATTTAAGAAGTGAAGTATTTTTTAAAATAGTTTTAGTGTATCAAGTATAAAAAGTTTATTTAAATTAAGTTTAGTGAGTGTATTGTGTATTGTGTTGGAGATGCTTAAATTATCATCATCAGGTAAAATGAATCATATACATCTTACAAATTATAGTAGACATGTAGCAATTTTTATAAACGAAGATAAAAATTGTTTTGTCTACTACATTTTAATTTTTATTCAATGTTTTGAATCATAAATTTTCTTTTTTTTCCCAGAATGTTCGCTACTTGCTTCTAATTGCTGAAATGGTGAGTTTGTTATAATTTTGTTAACATTTTGAAATGACTAGCACATAATCTGAAAATTTATATTTACTATGATGAAGCTGATATTTTTTATTAGTCATTATAAATTTATGGCTAAAAAATATTTATCTGTTTAAATTAGCCTTATATTTTTGGCGCTGATTTTAAAACTACTAATTAAATTATCAAATATCTGCTAAATTAATTTATGGTATTGAAATTAGCTGACAGTTGTCAAATATTAGAATTTTTTTAATTTTAGATTAAGAAATTTATAAAAACTATTAGTGTAATTTTTATCGTAATTTATTTAGTAAAAAAAAAAAAATTTCTAAAAATTGATAGCTGTCGGATAACTTCAATTTCATAATTAATTTTCATTAAAAAAAAAAAAAAAATTAAAAAATGGTCAAGTGACTGCTAACTTTAATGCACTGATAGAAGGATTTATTAATTATTAATAATTCAATTTATTTGAAGACAATTATTTAATTTTATTAAATATTTATTTGGGAGGAAAGTACATTTATTAATAGAAAAGATATAAGCTCACCCCATATATTATTATTATTATTATTATTATTATTATTATTATTTTTTTAATTCTTGTGAGAAAATAGTAAAAAAGACAAATAAATATAGTAAGTAACTACTCGTATTTTATTATGTCAATTAGTCATCATTCATTGTCTGTGAGTCATTGTGTCTACATTATTAATCCCACAACAAAGTCATTCACCCATTCATTATTATTATCATCATCATTAGACGCTAAATGTTTATTTGACGTAAGACATTTTAATAAAAATATAACAATTTATTTTTTTAAACGACTTATTAATCTGCATCTTTGATTATTAAATAGACTACTCGTAAATCTTAATAAAACCAATTGAATTAGACGTTTATTGTAAATTATTATTGGCCTACATTGTTGACCGCGAGTTAATTATAACGCTTTTACGATTTAATTTAAAATCTTCTCCTGCCATGCAACTATATTTAGTCATTTTTTTTAATTTCAATAAACATCAATGTGTACGCTTGTTAAAAATAAATTGATTAAAAAAAAAAAAAAAACACAACAACGGGTCAAATTGTATTATTAAGTAACTTTTGTCAAGTACACTAAAAAATATAAATTTAACAGAGAAACAAAAAAGTAATATACTATCGCCTTGTGAGGGTATCACTGGGTTATAGGTCACTTGGTGTTCATGTGTTATGAATAACTATAATAATAATAATAGTAATGAAATTTTTTTAAATTTATAATTATAAACTTGAGAGTTTTTTAAGTTTATTATGTCACTTAAAAGTTAAAAAAAAATAACAATTATGTATGATATTATTAAGATTCCGAGAATAGTCGTTTAAAATTTAAAAATTCTGAAAAGAGGTTTGCAGAGCATGGTGATAAAAGTGTTAACGCAATCGTGTAATCGAGTGCAATCATCATTTTTATAACTAGACTAGAATCATTGTCGTCAGCTTGATGTGAATAAGAATGAAGATGATGATGATGATGATGATGATAATAATCATACCCATGTAGGCTGAAGGTTCTAGTTTCCCTAATAAACTAGACTATCCCTTTTAAAAGTCACAATATATTCACATAAATTTTAAAATCAATGTTTAATTTTTTTTCTTATTATTATGTAATAAGCATTCAATAAAAATCATATTTTTTTAATCATTTTCTCAGTGATGAAAAAATAAAAAGTAAATGTCGGCATTTGTAGAGATAAAAAAAATAATTTTTAAACTCAAAAACACATATAGATATATTTATTTATCTATCGGAGATAAATCCTCAGTTTTATTCATTTTAAAATAAATTATAATAAGAGATACATATCTATTTATTATATGTATATTAATAGTTCCGTAAACATGTTCTTAGAAAAATGATCTCATGATCCTTTCATCACACATCCTTGTTATAATAATAAATAAATTGATTAAGTACTTACGAAAATGCTGTGATAAATTTTATCATAAAATGAAATAGGTGTTTTAAGTTCAACTTGAATTGAAGAATCAGACGGCAATGTTTTAAAATTACTACCCGTAAACGGATACAAGTTATCTCGAGACAACGTTAATCCCGATTCAATAGTTAAAAATGTATAAATAATGATTTTAAATAATAATTTATATCGTGACATGATGAATGTACTGTAAAATAATAATTCCACAAATATTAAATCACTGAATCTGGGATATTATCAACCGATTTCTTCTTACTAACTTACATCAGTGAATACAAGCTTGTGACTGCGATAAAATTTTCTCGAGCTAAGCTAAACCAGTAGCTTTACTACTCTATGGTATATTACTAAGAGTGGCGGTATGTTCACTTAAAAAAACATATCCCCACCCTTACACATATATACACAGCAATTTAATCAAATTCCCGCGATAGTGTACTTTTCTTCTCTTTACGTTATTTTCTTTTTAAATATTTAAACGCCTTTATACCATTAATTTTATAATAATAATAATAATAATAATAATAATAATAATAATAATAATATATTTAAAGATTAATTTTTTCTACAAAGAAACATTTATTTGAAGATATTTTATTACTATTATAATTATCACTAGGGTATAAATAATAAATAAACTAAACAAACTGATAAAGGATTAAAGATAATATTTGGGAACAGAATATATATGTATATATTTAATGTATATGGTGGTGTAAGCGGGTACGCGTGGGATCCGGAAATATATTGTGAAACGAGCAGAACGCGTACGACAATAATAATCGGAATAAACGAATGGAGGTGTACATTTGCAAATTCATTTTGTCATGTCTATTACCCTATCTATCGTTTTACTAAATTATTTCATTAATAATCCTTTATTATATTTAATACATTATAGATTACTTTTTTTATTACAAGAAATTACAATGCTAATTTGTACATATAAAATATAAATATAATACAATAGTTATAATACAAAGATTATTTATTATAATGATTTAATATCAGAGTTAGTTTTTTTTTTTTTTCATTTTTTTAAATTTTATTTTCTACTACAGACGGACGCTAATTTGTATCACGTAAATATTTTATCGTCCGAGTTATTCGTGAGCAGTGCTTATAATTCGGCAGTTGATTTATCGTTATTTATTTTTACACATACTCTACTATACACAAAAAAAGTTATTTACTAATTATAAAAAAAAATGGATTGTTCAATATCATTTTAAACAGTCAAATATGTTATTTTTTTTTTTTTTTTCTTTAAATTGTTTGACAATTTAAATTTCAATAATTGATATATTTGTATATTTAAAAGTTTTGTTGCATGTCTACAATCAAAAGTCTACTATGTGCGATAATTATGATTAACAATAAAAGCTACAATACATTTTTTTAATGTACCAGCGTTTATAAATTATGTAAATTTACATATTTTTTTGTCTGTTTGGCAAGTTAGCCGGAATTTGTCCGAATTACAATTAACTACAATAAACAAATTTAATAACCGATTTCAGTTTATCGGTGTTGATCATTAAGACACCAGATTGTTATCAGTCTTTAATAATCGGATTATAAAAGTTCATATTTAATGAAGCTCATTAATTTGACACAATTTTTATTAAAACAAATTGACTTTGGTCATCATTACTGATTTTTTTATAATTACAATTTACATTTAAAAGTTTATCAAAAAATGTTACACATTCGAGAGTATATTGTGCGTAATAAAAAAAAAAAAAAAATAAATAATTATACATTATTTGGTTTGATAAAAAAGAAGAAATAAACTCGTCAGTCTGTTACTTGGTAACTATAGAAAAAAAAATTTATTTTATCAAAAATTTACTAATAAATAAAATAAAAAATGATTGATGATCAGTACACAGAAGACTGTTGTACTAATCTCAGTCTATGTTAAGAGATCCCAATATTTGGCAATATTGTCTCACTGGGCCTGTCTCTCATTGGCCGGTTATTACTATTACTATTACTATCACTACTAATAATATTATTATTATTATTATTATTGTTATAAGTACTAGTTTTAGTATTATAAGAGTCAAAACATGTAACAAGTAGAACATGACTTTTGCAAGCATCGACACGTTTTTGTAGTATCACTGTTTCAGCTTCAAGTGCTTCGATAAATGATGAATTACGCCAATCCATACTATTTTCTACGTGTACTGTAGGATAAAAATATAAATATAAATGTGTAAATATATATGAAAATAATTGCAAAAACTTACAATCATAAGTCCATCGACTATCGGGTATCATTAGTCGTCTTTTAGCGTCACGTAACTCAATTTTAAGAAGCCGTTGGCGCAGACGTAGGTTGTTTATCTTGTACATTGTGCCACGTGGATCCGAGCGAATTAGACCTCTCCGTTCCATTATTTCCACGTCCTCGTCTGTGTAATCGAGTACTACCACGGGTAGGATTGTTTGCCTCTGATGCTGATGCTGCTGCTGCTGCTGCCGCTGCAGCTGCAGCTGCTGATGTTGAACGTGTTGCACGTACTCGGCTCCCGGTTGTCCCACCGCTGAAACATCCGCACAACGTCGATGTTAGAACTCCCAGTGCGCCACCTGAGAAAATCATCGTCCCAAGGGATAAAGGCTTTTTTTAAAGCTCTTTTTATATAAATTTTTTTTTCCCAAATTAAAATATTCAAAATAAATTAGGGTTTATACGCGAATAATAATAATAATAATAATAATAATAATAATAATAATAATATTATTATTAATACCTTGATGCTCTTGGAGTGCGCTAGTTTGCCTTGATGAATCACTGGCAATGCTACTAATTTCGCTGTCTCTGATTACGCTCTCATAACCGGAACTTTCAGCGCGATACCTTGACAAAGTAGCTGGAGAAAGTTTAGCAGCACGTGGCGTAGAATCAGCACCAGAATCATAACTCTCGCGATTTAATCCGAGTGATGAACCGAGGCTTAATATTTTACGTTGCATACGACCTGAGGACGGTAGTGAGGACGGAATTGATAATTCTAACGGTACAGTTACTGAAAAATAATTAATATTAATTTTAAAAATAAATAATAGTGATAGAATTTTACCTGGAAGTATAATTTCCTCCTCAATATCCGATTTGCCAGTGACAGTTCTTTCAGTTCTTTCGCTTCTTTCAGATCTTTCATGAACAGCAGTGTTGAATAATTTTTTAGCCTCAATATATTCTTCTTCAGGATCAGACCCCGAAGCACCATTGCCCGGTATTCTTTCAATTTCCTCTTTAAGATTTGGATTTGACGCACCATCCGGATGTCGTAGACTAGATATATTACAATCACTAAATTTACCGCAATAACGTTTTGGACTCGCTAAATGTGATAAACTACTGCTAGGAATTTGCGATACTGCACCACCATTATCACCTGATGATAATGGCAATGCTGATGATGATGATGATGATCCTCCTCCACCACCTTTCCCCATTCTTACTCCCATTCCCATTCTCATTCCAGTCGCTGAAGACATTGCTTGTTGATTTTTAGTTAGTGAAGATCCTGCTCCTCCTTGAATTGTTGGGTACCAATAAGACGCTGTTGCTGGTCGTGACATACTTTGCCGACAATTATCACATATTTTTTCTTCATCGTTATTGCCAGGTATATACGCCGGTTCACTGTATATACTTCCATGGTTACTTGAATTGTCATTAAACATAACGTCAGACAGCGATAAAGATTGACAACGTGATGGTGGACGGAACACATTTGCTATTAAATTTATAATATATTTTATTAAAAGAATATTAAAATAAAAATAAAAAACTTACCTGGAACATCATGGACACTGACAACAGATGAGTTTTCTCTCTGATAAGTCACTGAATTGGATACATTGGCCAAAGCAAGTTTACTTTGATATAGTTCATGAAGTCGAGCCAATTGATCAAACTTGTGTCGAGTTTCCTGCTCAAGAAAGTCTTCATGGTCAAAGTAAGGTCGCGGTAAGACACCTATACCAACTGATGATGAAAATTGCGGTTTGTAACGTTCGCTGTCTGACATTACGGACATTGAATCTGGCAATTAAATTTAAAATAAGTTTTTTTTTTCTCAAATATCGATTTAGTTTTCTTTTTATCAAAAATAAAGTTTTCTTATCAACTCTACGTATTAACAGCAGTTTAGGAAAATAAATAGGATTATCTTGAGGTATAATGGTACTTGAAAAAGTAATCTTTTAAAAGTTATTTTCCCATAGCTTTAAAAGATTACAGATATATACTGTATATTGACTTTTGTTAGATATCACGTTTTTTTTTTTTTTTGATACTCATATAGCTGAAAAACTTTTAAAATAATAAAATAGAACTTACCGGTGAATGTAGAGACAATTGTCAAGTTTTCTTGACTCAAAATCCTTAACGGATGTTCCTCTTGATCGCTTTCAGGCAAAGGATTTTCACCCATACAAAGTGCTATATCTTCTTCGGTAACTTGCAAACACGAGTCTTGCATTGGTACTGGTTCTAAATCCTCAACTTCAATAATCTCTAAAATTTCATCTTCCGACGACAGTGAATGTCTCGAAGGCAATACCATATCTTTATGAGATAAATTAAGACTCTCCATTGAAACTTCGCGACTAACACCATTACTCAGTGGTTCAATTAATTTTAACGGTGGAGGTACAATTATTTCATCTTCCTCTTCATTATCATCATCATCAATATCTACAATATTAACATCATCATCATCATCATCATCATCATCATTATCATCATCATCGTCATCATTATCTATATCATTATTTTTATTATCACTACTATCATCAATAACAGGACTAGTTGTTAAATCTAAACCAGAATCAGTATTTGACTTTATATTATTTATTAAATTTAATAATTTATTACCCCCAGTAGAACGAATCTTATCAATGGTATCATCAGCATCAGTTGTTCTTAAACTATCGCTGCCCACAGTACTTAATGACGTATCATCCTCATTATCATCAGACGACATTTTAAATCCCGCCGAGCCCCCACCACTACCACCACCACCACCACCACCACCACCACCACCACCACCACCACCACTACTTGTGACATCTTTAAAAATACCAACACCACCAGTGACACTGCTTCCACAAGATTGACCTAATTTAGATTCCGATCTCGATGACGTGTGCTTGGCCCGTTGGATTTGTGATGACTGATTTTCTACCCACTTTCTTATCATTATTTTTTTATGATTATCCATAAAACCGTATCCAGTATGCTGTGATGATTGTTGTTGTAGTTGTAGTTGTAGTTGCTGCTGCTGTTGCTGTTGCTGATTAAGTAATGGTTGTAAAGGACCATCAATCCATGTTTCTCGTTTATGATGAGTATCTTTAAATAAATGTCTCGCTTCAGCAACTTTTGATTTAGATATTCTTGGTCCATCAATCCACTGTTCGTCAGACGCTCCAATAATAATAACATTATTTCCACTTGCATTATTACTACTAGAGATTGGTATTTTACTATTTGTTGGGGAGTCTGTTAATTTATTAATGGAAGATTTAGTGTTAATTTTACGGGCTGGACTTGCTTTTGGTGTAATACTATGAGCTGGCGATGTTTGTTTAGACGCCGTTTGAGTTAATGTTTTTACAGATGATTTTGTTGGTGCCATTGACGCTGTCGTTTGTGTTACTGCCGTTGCATTAGTTGTTGTCGTCGTTGTTGTTAATGGTGTTGTTGTAGTTGCAGTTGTTGTAGTAATTGTTTTATTATTATGTACCGGACTATGTTGATCGTCAATAAATTTACTATTTAAAGGTCTTTCAGCAGCAGAGCCGCGTAAAATTCGTCCCATAGCACATCTTTGATCACCAGAATTAAGACTTGGAATATAAACAGGTGGATGCTCACCATCAGTTGCGTCTTCAGCAGATGGACCAACATAAATAACAGTGTCTGCTGATAAATCACTTGAGCTTGGATCACACTCGGTATTTTGTCGTGCGGCTTCCTCACCGGAACTCCCACTGCTGTGACCATTTCCTTGTGTACCACCAGATACAAATTTAATTTTACGTCGGCGCATTCTGTGTATACGTGAAGCTAATTGTACAGTTGTTAGGGTATCCGTATAATGTTGGGCATTTGGTGATACATGGGCAATCATTGCTGCATGACATGTCAGTGAACCCAGGCATTCTTTTAATAATTGGGTTAATTTATGTTCTTTATAGGGTAAATGCTTTTGACCATTAAATATTGCTAATAATATATTTCCAAGACCAGACAAGGGTATACCGCCAGCAGATTTACCACGATCTGAATTACCAAGATCCATTAAATGAAGTCTGCTACGCCCACCAGCAACTATATAATATCAAATAAATTTATTTAGTATTATTATTAAACATTGATTATTATATTAACGTACCTCCACCTTTACCAGCAACACTGTATTGGTAAACATGAAGCGTATAGAGCATATGAGCATTGCTATCTTCATATTGACGGCCAGCAACTGCTGCGTCCAAGTAAAATGCCGCACGCTCAGCAGTAGGAGCACGAAGTTCACTGTGCTGCTGAAGCTGCAGTGTACCAAACAGTGGATCATCACGTAGATAAACTGCCGGTGATTGTTCTGAATCTGTAATTATTATTATTATTATTATTATTATTATTATTTTATTGTAAAAAAAAATAGATAATATAATAAAATTCGAGTGTAGTATTATAGTTTTGGTAAAGTTAAATTGCCAGAACGTCATGTGGCATCATCAGGCAATATCCATAAAAGGGACCAAAAAAGTAATATTATCAGCATGTGTGTCGGTTACTTTGTCTTGAGCAGATCTTTAACGACATCTTGAATGTAACCCCTTACGTAAATTCAAGGTATATTTTTCACGACATCTAAACTTTTTAGGGGGAAAATAAAGATAAAATTTTTTGTGAGAACCGAGTGTAGACACGTAATCGATATATGTCTCTTGTTTAAAGGCCGCCTATCCTTTCGATATTTCGGTATACTTTAAAGTTTAGTCTTGAAAAGAAAAAAACTATATAAAAGAAAAAGGGATAGTTTAAATATAAGAGTCACCCTAAACCAATTCGATGGACCACTCTAGAAAATATGTTCCAGCTCATATGTTTAACGGGTGAGCATGACCGTGACCGTGACCGTGACTGTGTCCTTGTTCAAAATTGCACTACTTGGGCTACTTATATCAGTGTGTGATACATTAAACACACTTGAGAGTCTAGATATTATCTTGAGACACGATCAATCATCTTTTATTTAAGATTGATATGTTGCTTCTTTTTTATCATTGTAACAAAAATAGAAAATTTATAACAATAATAATTTGACATATTTTTTAAGACAATAAAAAAAAAAACTTAAGTGAGACAGTACAAGAAATTTTTTTTAAATTTAGAAAAAAATATCTTAATACTGACATACAGACACATTTCCGTTTTATTTCAAATTTTTTTTATTCTTATCTCTTACGATTTATTTTAATGTGATCGTTGAAAGCTCTGCAGTATATAAGATGTTCACTGTCATCATGTATTTCTAACTTATTTCTACACATCATAAAAATAAAAAAGAAAAAAATGTGGAACGATAAAAATTGTACGTGTCCTAGTTATTAGAGTACTTTATTTATTTTTCTTTTAATAATAAAAAAAAAAAAATGTAGAATGAAAGTAATTACCATTTGCGTATGCAGCTAGCAGGTCTTTTAATTGATGTTGTCCAGTTGTTAATTCAACGCAACTTACTCGTACACTAAATCGCGCTCCAGTTCTTTGTCGTTGCTCAGATATACCACGAAATAACCACGTTATTGCACATGGAATAGCACCTAGTGTATGTCCAGCTTCAGGAGTACCGAGCATTGTATGTGATTTACCTTAAACAATAATATTTTAATAATTAATAACTTTTTTTAACAACAGCTGTGATTGACTTTTTTTTTTTTTTAAGACAGTTGAAACAACTTTAATAATATAATTAATTATGAAAACAAAAGGGTTTGGGTTAGGGTTTATATTAAAATTATAAATTAAAAAGCCTCGAGTTTTTTAATCTTTTTTTAATTTTATTTTTTCCGAGGGTAATGAAACAACCCACGGGGCCGTAAAAGTAATGAAAACACACAATCTTAAACATTATTTAACTCCTTTTATACCGAAAACACATAAATGCTATTGTTATTTAATTTAATGCATATTATAAATAAAAAATTTTAATTACTTTGAGAATTCAACAATAATAAATAAAAGATTATTGTTATTATTATTATTATTATTCTTGTTTAAAAGTTCTATAGTAACTAACTTTAGGGTTATTTTCACTTTAAACAAAGTAAAACAAAAGTAAAAAGTAAAACAGCGTCGTCAAAATTTAACGATTAATTATTTTATAGAATGAGTTTGAGTTAGAGTTGCCCTGTTTAATTTAGCCCTTTGACGTTTTCGCTACTCGCTATGACTAAGTAAATTTCCTTGTGTATTTTGTTAATTTTTTATTAAGAAATGAAATTTCATTTAAAGCATGAATTAAAATACTTTCTTATATACATACAGATCGTTTTAATTAATCTAAAAAAAAATGTAAAATAATAGGACGTCCCACTGGCATATTTTATATTTTTTTTTTGATTTTCAAACTTTTCTTCAACATCTCTTTGTCTTGTTTTGAAATATATATTTTTTTGTCTTATTCCATTGAAGCTGTTTCGTGTCTTAGATGGTCCTTTTTTTGTTTTCTTTTTCTCCTCACCGTTTTCATACCTCACAGAGACATTTTATTCCCCTCGCAGTATAATCATGGATTTGCATGCAAACTCGATATCACTACTTAAAATGTAAAACAACTTGGCATCTCTCTATCTCTCAGTGTTGTATTCTTCGGGATATACTTTTTGACCAAATAAAAAAAGATAGCAAATTATCTCAAACTCTCTCAAAGCTATACATAAATCTTTTTCTGTTTTTATTTTAAAATATATAATTTCAGTGAATGATATGATTTATTTAATAAAGTAATTTTTTATTATTCTTACCTAAACCGGCGTGACCAAAACAAAATAAGCACCCGTCTGTACCATTAATGACAGCATGAATAACATCAGTTAACGCGCTTGAACATATTTCTATCTGCAACATTATATTAAAAAATAATTAAATTAAGATTATTTTTCGTTAAGCAATATTATTATTATTATTATTATTATTATTATTATTATTATTATAATATCCTTTTGGTAGGTATTATATAATAAGGATAGTAAAACGATGGTGGTTTAATGAAATACGTGACCAGTACAGAGACTCGGTCATAATCTCAACACACTTGATTGTCGTACAAGACAGCACGTCGAGGATATGCTGTTATATTCTGGTACAGCTTGACAAGACTAAAACTACCATTGCGATTATTATTATTATTATTATTATTATTATTATTATTACTATACGAGAGAATATGGGTATAAGAAGTATGATGATTACAACAGCAGGGAGGATGTGAGGTAAACTACCAAACTACAATGAAGAGAAGATGAAAGAGGAGGAAAGAGAAACAACAGACAACAAACAGCAGCACCCTATATATATATGCCTACTATATGTATACACTATACAATGAGTTGTTTCGTCAAGGGTAAGATCCTCCATACTAACTATAACAACTATAACAACTATTACAACTATACCAACAGACGTATACGCATCCCATTTTCATCCTCAATAAGACAGTTACATGTAGAGTTGCGTAAAGGGTTCAAATTATAATAAATTACGGTCATCTTTCATCATGTCATTCTATTTTATTTATTTAAATTAAAAATAAACTCCAATATAACATCAGTAGCATTGATTCCTACACGTGTTATAAATTATCTTATATATAATAGGTTGGTTTATTGTAATTCAGCTTACATACTACGATGAAAAATGGTTAGATAGCAGGAATCTGGTATATATATATATATATATAAATGGGATCCGAGATCTGGCATTTTAGATGGTATTGTAAGCTCCGTCTTATACAGTTTACGAGTCTTAGATATCAGACAAGTCTCAATTAAGAGTGGCAACCGGCCATTAATTTCTATGGGTGTAAATTAAAACCGACGGCGTCTCTTTACTTGCTTTACCTTACTTGAATTGAGACACCAAAAATAATACAATAAATGAATAGAAACAAAAATACAGAATGATTATATTATAAATTATAATTATTTTTATTGTTTAAGCCGGAATGTCTTTATTTTACTGTTGATGCCAACAAAGTTAAAATTATATATGTATACAGGAAAAATAAAGAGGATTGAGCTTGCAGACCGCGTCTTGGTAACGCAATAGGTTACAGAACACCGATAGAATACAGATAAGAATAACCAACTCCAGGGGTGGTGCTTTCGACTTTATATTTTTTTTGTTCTTCTATTGACTAACAAGACGACGATGATGATGATGATGATGATAAAAAAAGCTAAGCTTTAGATTTAAATGATCTTAAGGTGAACTGAAAAATAGTAATAATAATAATAATAATAATAACAATAAAAAAAAAAACTTAAAGAGTACAACTACTCAAGGGCTCGTATTTCTATCGTTTGGTGTGAATGTAAAAATCGTGTTACCATCAGTCCCTGAAATAATGCACTCCCGGCTAAAGCAACGCGATACTTTTTCTTTACTTTTTTTTTGTCGCACCCTCTTTAAACGTTTTTTTTTTCCCTTTTCCTTTTTCTTTTTCTTCATTTAACGCCAAAATAAGAGAAAGAGGAAAAAATAGAGTGAATAATCGAAGGGCTTTCTCTCTTTTATAAGTTTCTTTACCAATCGTGAAAATCTTTTAATCGTTGGAATTGAAACATTTTTTTTTTTTTGTTAAATTTCATTTCTTTAATAAAAGCCGATGCTTTTATTTTATTCACCAAATTTTTACAATGTTACTTAAATTACCTCGAGACAAAATATTGAAAAACAAGTCTTGTTAATAATTTTGTTTGAATGAAAGTTTAAAATTCAAATACATAGAGAGAATTTTTAACAATATATTTCTTTTCTGACAGATTTATTATTATCTGTTATCAAAAAAATAAATTCTCATAGTAATTCTCCAATGGTTATTGGAAATGTTTTATTTAAAACTTAAATTATTATAAAAATAAAACAAAGTGATGAGAAATGAGCTGGTGTGTTTTATATATGACATTATATTGTTAACGTAGTAACAGCTACATTGTATGTATAGGGTTAGTAGAGTGTATATCACCTCCCATCGGATTTAGTAAATGCTTTTTTGATCCTGAATCAGTAACGGGTAGAGGAGGGTATATGGGAGAAGGAATAGAGAGCGTACTTAGTCCCCAGGCACCAATGAGCCCAATCTCTTGTGTAAATCGTGGTATATTTCACGACAATCGAGAGAGGACAAGTGACCAAAAGGGGCCAAAATACCCAAAATAGCTAAAATAGCCAAAATAACCCCCTAAAGCGATTCCTATATACACTCTCATTTTTCATTTAACAAATTAATTATGTTGAATACATCAATGTTAATGATAAACTGTAAAATGATGAATATTAAGATGATGATACGTAATAGAACCTTTATATGATGATAATGGGTATTATGTATTAAACTAGTGAATTCATCCATTTCTCACTGCTATGCGTTAAACTATCTGCGTATATGTGTAGAATAGAATAGAATAGAATAGAATAGAATAGAATAGAGAATTCTCATTGGATTGGCAGCAATATGAACTACCTATTCTGGCTATATATATGAGTTATATGTGGAATATGTGTAATATGTATATGTATATATAGTATGGTGATGGTGTAATCTACAACGCGACTATTAGTCGTATAAGTCAATAATAAAGCCCTTGTCCCGCATATACCATTATAGGATATATGGTGAATTATCCGGCGCTGAATCCTGCGTCGACGTCTATTGTCTCGGTGTTTAGTTTGCGGCAATAGAATTGTCAATACCCTTTAGCAATATATATATATATATATGAAAAGATTCCTAATTGAGATCGATTATCCTACAATAAACTATATTTTACAATTTATATCTTAATAAATAATAATTTTATAGAGGAATTTATGTTGTGTTTTGTTAAAATTTAAAAAGTTTTCTCAATTTGTAAATGGTTTTTTTTTTTAGAGAATTAAATTTTATGGGTTTACCTTGAAGGGACAAATTCAAACAGAGAGTAAAACTCAGTATAAAGTATAAAGTATAAGGTTTAAAAGGTATACTATAGGATACTGTAGGAGGTATTTTGAAGTACTTTATTGAAGCAGTGGACCTAAGGGACATTATCGGAGGTTGGATTCAAATGAGCCCGGAGCTATGAACTTGAATATGTGTCTAGTTCTCGGGTATTCAGAAATACAGAAAGAGGAAAGAAGAAAAGCTCTCTAGAGAGCGAAGAGGAGCTAGAGAGAATCAAGAGAACCAAGAGAACCAAGAGGACCAACAGGACCAACTGAATTCAGCTTTATTGGTATATTATCCATTCTAGATGTTTGATTCCCTCTTTAACTATATATACATATGTATATCGATTTACTCTATTGTCCCTTGTGTACGTGTCTGCGTTTCTCTCTTTATTCGTTGGGTAATAGAGAGTCATGCGGAAGAATTGAGAGTAATCGATTGATCTCCATCAACACTCTCTTGATTGTCTGTCAAGTATATATCTCATCAAATTATTTTAGATTTTATTTTAAAACCAGTTTATATCGTGTAATATAAAATGGTGAATATTTTAGATGTTAAAAGAATTAAAGAGCGGATATTGAAGAGGAAAATTTGAAATGTCGAAGCCAGTAGGTTTAAGGATACAGCGACAGAGCAATACCAAACCAACATCACTTGCCTCAAGCCTCAAGCGATTTCCTGGATAGGAGGGCTGGCTTTGGAGATGTGGAAATTAGTTTAGTTATGCGCCCAACGGAGACACCAGAAATGCTATGGAGAAATATAATCTATCTCAATATATATACAAGTAACTTAACGCAACTGAGCACGTACTAAATCTTTAAATTTTAATTTCCGATCTTTTATTTTATATCAATTTTTAAATGTAATTAAAATTACCTGTGAATCTTCTTCTGTAAAAATAGCGTCGAATGCAAACATCTTTGGAGCAGCAACAGTTGGCCTTCTGTCTGATTCAGTCATTGCTGATTGTCCTGACGTTGGATCAATAATTGTTATTTGTTTTTTACGTTTGTCAGCCGTAAAAAAACTACCACCTTCACCGGATGATATTCTCAGCATTACTTTTACCTGTAAATTTTATTTATTTAATAATAATAATTATAATTAAACCTGAAAAATAAAGTATAGTATTATTATTTTCTTTTTCTCTTCTTTTTTTTTTTTCTCAATTGGTTGGTTTAGGACGGGTCCTCTCTCTAGTGGCTCCATTGCCAGTGATGTATACCACTGGGGACGTGAACCGTAATACTTGCAATATCTTACGAGCAAGACCAAATACTACCTGAGAATTCAATTCTCACAGAGACAGGGAAAAGGCGGTTACTTTATTTTATTTTCTATGTCTTTTACCTCTATTTAAATTATTATTATTATTATTATTATTATTATTATTATTATTATTATTATTATTATTATTATTATTATTATTATCATTATTTATATAAAATTTTTATGGCGTAAATTGTAGACCCTATTCTATAGATTTTGATAGTGATCCTAGTGATGTTAGTATACACTTTGGCAACAACTGATATATAAGCCTGGGGCTATAAAATATTCATCAAGTTACCGAATCATCAAACTTAAGTTTCGACAACAGTAAGTTTCTAATCTTTATATATGTAGATATACCTCTAAGTTCATCTCATAAATGCGTCTTTAACTGTATTATATTACCTTTTATATTTTACTACTATACTATTAACAAGGGTTATATTTGGTTTGGTTATATTGTCATCAATTTTTAGATATTTTATGGAATATTAAAAACTTAAAAATATTATGATAAAAAGTTATGTAAATCAGAGAGATAAAAATATGTTTTAAAAATATATATGTATATATGGTAATCCCTTTAAATTTATACTTTATTGGAGATAAAAGCTATAAAAATAATTTATACTCCGTCGATATGGTTGATGCCAAGCAATATCTTTGTAATTTTATCACACTAAATCATTTATATAATATAATGAATATAAAATGTTAGATTTAAATATCTTGATTAGCCTTAAGCTTAAATAAAGTGTACAAGTCCATGAAAAAAATAAACTTTATTGTCTGATGAAACAGTCAGATTATAAATGTTATCTTTGATTTCATTCATAACGATTTTAAATTTTAGAATCATGATATATATAATGTATATATATATTAAGCTTTTAGTAACAAGAGGAAGCAAGAGTAACCACAAGAAAGTAACCCCTTAGTTAAAGTATTAGTATAGTAGATACAGTAACTAACAGCATGATTGAGCAGCCTGAGGCGTTGATGAGAAATGAGAAATGAGAAATGTGAACGTAAATGTGAATCGTGTTCATTCGATTGGAACTTTTATCCTTTTATATTACAAGTACCGTATGCTAAACAAAATAAAAATTTTAATGCTTTTTATTCTGCTAAAACTTTTTAGCATTAAAATACTTAAAAAGTTTTAATCTTATACATCTTAAAGAGTTTAAAAATCTTGAGACATTTAAAATCGAAATGGAGATATATATATATATATATATATATATATATATATATA